TATTCCATTGTGTGAGTGTTTGGGAATGCCTTCTCACACCGGTCATTGACTCCGTCTAGAACAGAGAGGATCTCTTTACACACAGTGTCTGACAACTGGTAGAATGTGTGTCCAGCTTTTGGCCATGGCACTGCTCCTTCTCGGACTGAAGTGCTTAATACCCATATCTCTGAGTAGAATGTCTGGACTCCTACAGGTACTGAACCAGGACAGCGTCACGAGACTGGACTGGTTCTTATCATACCCAAATCCTCTCACCTCTAACACTCTGAACCAATACGGCACACACACACACACACACACACCCTACCACCATTGCTAGCACAGATAGTTTCCTCTCCATACAATTACAGTAGAACCTCTGTAAGTTGACCATTCACAAGACTATAACCAACTGGTCACCATACAGAGAACCAGGGGTAAGACAGGAAGGGGGGAACAAATCATATTTCCTTGGGGTAGAAGGTTTGCTCTGTTTCCAGAGGTAAAGCATGTATTAAGGGTCAGTTGTGACTCTCAGTTCCATTTATAGATTACCTTTTTATATTTCACCAACATTAGCAGGTAGTTGTAGGTTCACCAACATTAGTTTTTAGTATGACATGCATTAATACTTTTCTGCATATCATCTGTATTTAGTTGTGAGAAGCTGTGTCTGGGACCACTGATCTTAAATGTCACTTTTAATTCAAAATGTCTAACAGAATTTAATCCTTTTTATAACAGCTGAAATTTGTATGAAGACCTCAAGGAAATCAAGAAAAAAAGTTTGAATATACTTGAACATAACTGGACCCAAGTAGGCATCTAATAAATGTGCTTTTGTACTGATGCTAAATATGGTCCCACATTGCTAGTCCACCATTTCAGAGTCTCTCTCTGTAAGACAATGTATAGAACATCTCCATAAATTGAACCTGGTACCTCACTCAATTCTCTTATTCTTCCACACAGATCAGACACCTCCTCTCAGGTCCTGGCAAGATGACCTATAGTCCATCCTTCACACATGACTGGTCCATTCCACCACCGTGTTTCCAGTCATTAGTTGTTCCACTGTGAAAATTTGCTTCCCCTCCCTTTGGGTGCCCAAATCTCTAGTCAATTTGCATATGCCCCACAGTACACCTCTTCCAGATAAAAATGTTCCTAATTAACTCGTATGCCATCCTGCCTGTCTCCAGCTCCCTTCAGAAGGCATATCTTTAGTTTTTGTCACATTAATCTACTTTCATTATCACGTTCCTCTTAAAAGACAACGTTGTACAATGTCAGTGTGTTTGCCTGTTCTGATGGCCCTTGACCTGAGCTCATGAAAGGATCTGCTTCCTTGGCATGTTCTCCGATTCCTCCTTTTCTTTGGACAGAAATATGTGGTACAAACCTCTCTACACCCAGTAACAAGGAAGGTTGCTCACCACCTCACGTATTGATCAGTGCTAGTATTGTTTAAAGCTAAGATTACTGAGGAGGTTCTTTTTTTTTTAAACTGGATTCTAATTTATGCAAATGCAAGGAAAATCAAACAAGTTTTATTTGTTGTTGTTAAGGGATTTTTCCCTTTAGCAATTCATTATAATGTAAACCTCACTGCCATCTGGGTATTTGTGGTGATCAGGTGGGAATTTAGAACCTCTTTCCAAGCCAAACACTGGAGTGAGGGAAGTCATCAACTTGAATTAATTATCAGCCTGCCAGGAAAAGACTTCAGGGCAAAATTATTATTCTTGAGGCAAGGCAAAATGCAAAACAGATCGGACTTTAAAATTTGGTAATTTCATAGTTAAAATATTTAATAGTAAAATAGTACAAGTGGTATAAAATGGAAACTAAAAGACTGGAATGTGCTGTGAAAGCCAGGAGCAAGAAAGTACAGTTCTAGTATTAAAGTGAGATGAAGGCTACCTGATAACTGGATGAACTACCATCACTCAGTTTAGGGGATGCCCTTCTCTACTGTGTGACATCATTAATTAGTCATAGCAGCACCTGTCTTTCCATACAGAGGTTCAGAATTCTTTTCAGGTTGGCACTAGCTATGGGCTGAATTTGTTGTATGCTATAGTCATTCAGCAAACATCCATGTCCCTCTTCCTCCCTGTCTTAGCAGGGTATCTTTCCCCGATATTGGACTTGGCCCTGTGACTTGCTATGACCAATGGGCTGTGATGTGAGGAGAGGCCTTAGATATGCTGTGTGATTTGGTGTGAAGCTCTTTTGCTCCGGTGTCTACCATGAGAAAAGAATACCCCAGGTAGCCACTGCCTCTTTAACCTGGGAGACATGATAAATACACATGGAAGCCAACCCGCTGCCAGAAGCAGAACATGCAAATGAGCTCTTGCTGCTGTAGCCACTGAGTTTTAGGGTCCATGTTAGATGTAATTTATCACTAATCCCTGCCCTACAAACTGGTAGAGCACAGGGAAATGACTAAGATAAAGCAGACACATTTTCAGAAATAAAAAGGAGACAGTATAAAGTAGAAATAGACATGTTGGAAGTTTAAATCATAGTCTTAAAATTTTTAGATCTTTGGTCAATCTCTCAGTCTAGAGACAAGACAATGAGCTTGAGAGAAAGAAAATGGTTTGATAGACCAGGCATAGTAGCTCCTGCCTATAATCCCAGCAGTTTGAGAGGCCAAGGCAGGAGGATGGCATAAGCCCAAAGGGTGAGACTAGCCTGGGCTACATAGTGGGATCTTGTCTCTACAAAAAAGGTAAAGATTTCACTGTCACTCTAGCCCATGTGACAGAGCAAGATCCCATCTCTAAAAAAAAAAAAAAAATTATGTTGAAAATAAAAAGATTTCACAAAAGAACTAAGATGTCAACCAAAGTCTCTTGACTGGTTATTACTAATTTACTCTTTTTGTAACAAAACAATCGTGTGCTTCTAAAAAGGATGCATTCCTACCATGTTTCTCCGAAAATAAGACCTAACCAAAAAATAAGCCCTAGCAGGATTTCTATGCATTTGTTAAATATAAGCCCTACCCTGATAATAAGACCTAGTGATGGGCGTGGCTATGCAGTGTATCTGCATAGCCACACCATGCATTTCAGCACAGAGCAGTAAGGAAGACTGGAATACCTTTTATCTGCCACAGCTCCTTTCTCTGAGCTGTTCACACTTGCACGGGTATGCGTGTGGTAACCGCAGTCACAGGCATCCTATTGTGCACGTGCGAACAGCTAGGGGAAAGAAGTTCATGTATCACTAGCACCAGCCCCACCAACAAGGTCAGCTCCTCCTGTCAGATTCCAGAAGAAGATGACTTAACTGTATTTGAATGAATGTAGATCGTTGTATTATACTGAATAAAAATAAGACATCCCCTGAAAATACACCCTAGTGTGTCTTCTTGAGAAAAAATAAATATAAGACAGTGTCTTATTTGGGGGGAAACACAGTACCACTCTGAGCTAGGGAGAACTGAGCTGCCAAGCAATGTCAAACAAAAGAATTAGTGGCCAGCCCCTGCCAGCTTCTGGGCTGGAGACTGTCCTATGAGGAGTTGGTGGCTTTGTCCCTAGAGAACTTAACTATGGGGACTCTAGGAAAGAGCAAACACCCAGTTGAAATTCAGGCCATGGCCCAGAAACCTGACGAAGCAAAATTCTGCCAGGTTTGATGGAAATAAAAGTGAGAAAATAAAACCTCAGCATAAAAAGTCCATCATATGGTTTCCAACCACTTTTAGATCAGAAAATAGCCTGGCTCACCTGTTTTATTTGTTCTGTTTTGTTTTGTTTTTTTGAGACACAGTCTCACTTTGTTGCCCTCAGTTGAGTGCTGTCGCATCACAGCTCACAGCAACCTCAAATTCTTGGTGATCAAGCAATTCTCTTGTCTCAGCCTCCCAAGTAGCTGGGACTACAGGTGCCCACCATAATACCCAGCTGTTTTTAGACAGGGGGTCTCACTCTGGCTCAGGCTGTTCTCGAACTTGTGAGCAATCCACCCACCTTGACCTCCCAGAGTGCTGGGATTACAGGTGTGAACCACTGTGCCCAGCTGGCTCATTTATTTTTCAGAAAAGAGCTAAGGAATGGTATGATGTCATACATTAACATTTTAGCTCAGCTTGAGCCAATACTTCAGCAGAGTAAGCTGCTGCCTTGGATGTGACTCCAACAGCTTTAGGGTTACCACCCCACCCCCACCAGATTAAAGTGAAACCCCTTCTTTACCTTTGGCACAATGCTCACCTAGTACCAAGCAAAATTAGTCTAGAAATAAGACTAGGACCTTGCTTCATACCACTTATCCAAGTGCATAGCACACAAGAAGCACTCAGTAAATGAATGAATGAATGGACAAATATATAAATGGATATTAAATGCTTATGTTACCACTGATCAGACATAGAGGTTTATATTATAGTTTACTAAAAAAGGAGTAATAACTAAGCAAAAACATAAAGAATATTGAGGTCAAATTTAAATTCTGCTAACTTCTAACTCATTCACTTAGTAAATATTAATATTCAATGCCTGTTATGTGCTAGCACTACGCAATTTTCTATAGATTGAAACCAAATAGATGAAGTTCCTGCCCTCAGGAAGCTGATGATAATTTAATGTAAATTTTACACACATGAAAATAACTAAGAAAAAGAACAAGGAACCATTTGAGAGAGTGGGAAGTGTGCATTTTAGGTTAAAGGATCAGAGAAAGTCCTTCAAGCAAATATTCCCTAAAGGTCCTGCTTGTTATGTGTGAACTAGAAAACAAACAGGTATAAAGAAGTATCATTTTTCACAGGACCGTGCATCTGAAATGCATCCTCAGACTGAGTCACACGTGTGCACATGCAGTGAGCTAAGGAGCTTCTATTTTGGCAGCCAGGCCCTACAACCCCTAACCCTGGAACCTCCCAAACCATCATCCCTTGCAAGCTAAAAACCAACAAATTACAACAATTAAAACTTCAAAACTTGATTACATAATATAGATATCAGGTTTTTGCAAAATATGTAGACATCCAAACATACCAAACAAATAATCTGTATATGAACACAGAAGATCCACAGCAGCAAATTCTGGGATATTCGGTAAGGCCACTTGGTTAACTTCATCCGTTCTGTTATTCTTCTTTCCAATAAGGAGGTTAATTGCCAACACAGCTTCATTGACCTATAATTAACACATACATCAGAATTCACAAATATAATCTACCTGATTCATAGATTATCCATTGGTTAATATTATGAAAAAGTGAATTTATAAAATAATATTCCATATACATTGGAATCCTGATATTGGTGACCTCTGACATGTAGAATATCATAGTCAAACAAATCACTTAGTGTTGACAATCTAATTAATGCCTAAGTCACTTTAAATAAGCTATCTCACCTAGCAATGACAGATATTTGCCAAAATGTCAACTGCCAATATTTTCATTATAGAAAAGCTAAAACAAATGGAGCCAGTTCTGGCTATAAAAACATTACACACATAATGAGTATTTCTAATCTTTCCAAAGAAACACAATTGGCACAAATCCTCAACAATGTAAAATTTCCTTTTCTCTTTTTAAAAGATACATTGCATTGCCTTAACTATTGATAGGCAGAGAATACGGACACAACAGTAAAAAGAAAGATTAAACAAAAATCGTACCCACCTGGGCGGCAGCTCTTATTGCAATCCAGGCCAATGAGTTGTACAACTCAAACTTATTTGGTATTGGTTCTTTAAAAGAACTGGTTCTTCTGAAAGGCTAAATATATGACAAATGTTTTATGATAAAGGTAACATAAAGTTTCATGATAAATTTTGTCATTGTGTGAAGAAGACAATTTAGTGGAATACTATGTAGTCATTAATGATAATATATGTACTGACGTGAAAAGATATTCAAAATATATCAGGGAAAGAAAAGTGTAGGTTACAAAACTCTATGCAAAGTATGATCCTGCGTTTCGAAAATATCCATGCACACATATTCCTTGCACATAAAAGTAGGGAAAATTGTTGACAGTGGTTATCTCAAATTTTAAGGGTAATTAAATTTTACTGTATTTTTCTAGCCTTCCATTATGAGTTTGCATTACTTGTGTACTAAATTAATAAAAATGGTGCTTTAAGTAAAATTAAATACCATCATAATAGAGAATCTATAAATCAAATATATTGTATGTAACAATGTCATAAATGAGATTATTATCTAAAGGTATGTGCTATCATCTTTATAACTAGGAAGTAGTAAAGAGACTATTATAAAGTTCCAATGAATGGAGACCTTTTTACATGGTTGTGTGCATATATATGTTTAGTTTTTATTTTATTTTATTTATTTATTTTTTGAGACAGAGTCTCACTTTTTTGCCCTTGGTAGAGTGCCATGGCATCATAGCTCACAGCAATCTCAAACTCTTGGGCTTGAGTGATTCTCTTGCCTCAGCCTCCCAATTAGCTGGGACTATAGGTACCCACCACAACACCTGGCTTTTTTTAGACATGGGGTCTCCCTCTGGCTCAGGCTGGCCTCGAACTCCTGAACTCAAGCAATTTACCTGCCTCAGCCTCCCAGAGTGCTAGGATTACAGGTGTAAGCCACCACACCCAGCCCATATTTAGTTTTTAAACATAAGAAAGTCAGTGTTACAGAAGTGAACAGAAAGAAACTACACCAGAAGCATATAATCTGGTTTTATATTTTTAAAGATAACTAAAATAAGTTTTAATAATCTTTCTAAAGATTTAAATAATCTGGATAGAGCTAACTGTTGAATTAGACCCCTTGGTGCTAATTTTTTGATGCCCATATTTTGACCAATTCTTTGCCAGCAAAACTGCAGAGTAAAACAAACAATAACAAAACTGTCTTTGACTTTGGCTAGACAAATACCAAAGAAAAGGAAAGGCAATTTATAATGCTGACGCCAAAGCAGTAAGTATTGTTACAAGGTGCAAGTGGGGCCTAGCCTAGATTAAGTGTAGGGGAAGAAGATACCTAGAGAGATCTGCCTCCAAGAGTTGGAGGTTGCTGTAAGCTATGATGCCACAGCACTCTACCAAGGATGACAAAGTGAAACTCGGTCTAAAAAAAAAAGAAAGAAAGAAAGAACATGTGGTATCTTCATATAATGGAATACTATTCGGCAATAAAAAGGGACAAATTCCTATCACAAGCTACAACATGTAAGAATTTCAAAAACATTATGCAAGGTGAAAGAAGCAGGCACAAAATACTACAAAATGTAAGATTCCATTTATATAAAATTTCTTGAAACAGCAAATACATACAGACAGAGAAAAGTTTGACGGCTATATGAGACCGGGGTGGGGAGGATAGAATTGACTACAAATGGCCATAAGGGACCTTTTGGGGAAGGACAAAAATGTTTTAAAACTGGATGGTGGTAGTAGTTGCACACCTCTGTAAATTTACTAAACATCCATGAATTGAAGTCATGGTTGAAAATCATGCCTTGATAGTTCTTTTTGAAATGTATGCATGCTGGTCTCTCTCTTTGGACTACTTTTCTCCTACTTAACTACTTGGAAAACTCCACTTATCCTTCAAAATTCATCTGATCTGTGAAGTCTCCAGCATATTCCCAAGGAAGAATTTGCCCCTACTTTGTAACACTTCTTCACCTTGACATATCATGATTATAGTCCCTGTCACACTGCAATACAATTATTTGTCTCCTTTCCTAGACTCTGTGCTCCTTAGGGAAAGACAGTAAAGTTCTAGACATACATTAAGTTCTCAATAAATGTTTCATTAATGAATGAATAGAGAAATGTTTAAGAAATAATCAATTCAGTTTAACTAACAAATAACTATTAAATATCTGCTATGTACAAAATGTTTCAGAAAGAATACAGATGTTTAGCTGAAGTTAGATAATGATAGATAATAGTTCCATTTTCAAAGAACTTATTATATACAAGCCCATTATCTTGTTCAATTCCCCTGGTCACTGAAAGGGGTAAGTATCATCACCTTCAATTCTCAGATGAAGAAACTAGGCTTAGAAAGGCCTGAGTCACATGGCTAGCTAGTATCTAGGTTTTTATACAAGTTTTGAGATGCATAAAAATCAAGAAATATAAAATCCATGCAGGCAGAAACAAATGAAGCCCTCCTAGCAACACCAATAAGCCGAGCAAGTTAAACTTGCACGGGTGAATCAGAAAGGAAGCTGTCAACCGTGTTGCTTGGAAGTGAAATAACGGACCATAACACAGTCTGTGTCAAAACTTTCTTAGTGACACACGTATGTCAATGAAGCTAGGATTCAAACCCATCCAGTGCCATGGTCACTCTGCTACATGGACACTACCTGAAAATGAAAAATACTGCTTTCTTTTAAGGGTTTATAATACATGGTATTTATTAGGACATATTTCAAGTATGGTTTGAATATAGCTGAATTTTTTTAAATTTGTTTTGGCTGTTTTCTATACTTCTAGTAAGTCTGTGAGTTGCTAAAATATTTATACTGCATCAAGACACACAGAAGGTAATGATCATATATAGAACGATCATATATAATTATACTCCTTCATGCCTTTCTTTTCTTTACTTTTCTTTTTTTTTGTTTGAGACAGAGTCTCACTATGTCACCCTGGGTAGAGTGCCATGGTGTCACAGCTCAGACTCTTGGGCTTAAGAGATTCTCTTGCCTCAGCCTCCCACATAGCTGGGACTATAGGTGCCTGCCACAATGCCTGGCTATTTTTTGGTTGTAGTTGTCACTGTTGTTTGGCAGGCTCTGGCTGGATTGGAACCTGCCAGCTCTGGTATATGTGGCTGGTGCCCTAGCCGCTGAGCTACAGGTGCAGAGCCCTCCTTCATGCTCTTAATTATAAACACTTCTCTAGTAAAGGCCAAAAAGGTGATGCATTACCATCCCAGCATCCTATTAATTTGTGCTGCAACCTGCTATGAAAACAAAGACTTTTTTTTTTCTATTACTGGAAATAAACATGTTTATCACACCACAAAAAGTAACTTTTTCTAGTTTGTAATTATTTTTTATAATTGTTTTTGCTGTCTGAAAAATTAAAGGTTTGATACCAACATTTCCTGAAAAGATCTCTTGGTGGGACAAATGATAATTCAATAAAGATGAAATAGGAAAGCCTACTACAATTTTAAAAATAAAATGTAAGATTACTGGGCTCAGATACCTCTAACCCAGTGATTATTCCTGCCTCTTAAGATCTCCCTTAGTCTGACCTTGGGTACTTAAGTGTGTGGTTCATGGACCAACAGAATCAGCATTAGCTGGGAGCTCATTAGCCAGTCTCAGACCCCATTCCCGACTTGCTGAATCAGAATCTGTAATTTGACAAACCCTATTAGAGATGTTTCTGCACCTTAGTTTGGAATCACAGCATCCCTCTACAACCCCTGCAGGACTCCCTCTTCATCCAGCAAATCCCACCTTGAATATCATCTCTTCCCACTATGTATTTTCACAATCCCATAAACCCAAATTATTTCCTAATCCTAAAAGTCATCCTCATTTCCCTCCTTCTCCCTCATTCCCTGGCTTCTATTCTTCTCTGGTTTATCTTCTGTTGCCCTCCACAGAGAGGCAAGAACAGGGTCCGAGTTTGCCTTAAACACAGCTCTAACACCTTGCTCCAGAAGACTGCCTGGGTTGTAGGTGCTTAGCGGATTTGTGATGAATAAATCAAAAAGTGATCTGTTTATAGGCTGCATCAGTGCCCAAAACTTTATTTGTCCATCCATTTAATCAATATGTCATTTTCTGCAATTATCCTGATCAATACTAATGGCTTGTTGCCCAGAGTATTTACATACACCTGCATTTCATAGATAGCATTTTGACAGGCAAAAATGACTATTTGAAACTATTTACAGAGCCCTACATAAAATACCCAAAGAAACATCTAAATATAAACATAACCATAAAGTAATGAATTAATTTCTCCAAGTCACGCAGGAAATTTAGTCTCATTATTTCAATAGCACACTGTTACCAAAACAGCAAGCTCAAAGGCAATTAACTTATAATTTCTAATAAAATAGACTATTACCTTAAGCACTAATGGTGATGGTGACATTCTTCTGCTTGGCTTCATCAGATGAAAATATAATAGGGCCATTTCTAGGTAGGAGTTTCTTATCAATCTAAAACGATACAACATTGTACTTTAGTAAAAATAGCTTCACCACTCATAATCATTTGTATCATTTGCCAACAATTCCTGAGCTGACGAAATGTAAAAATTGGCAAAACCAGAGTCTGTCCCAAACTCATACTCTCCTTTCATAGCACTTTTAGCCCTAGACAACTAAAACTGGAAGCTCTTGAAGAGCACTAACCATTCTACCTTGTGCTGTGTTGGCAATTATCCATGACATGCCTGCTATGAAGCCCAACATCTACACCATCCTAGACTATTCCAGCAGACAAGGCACTAAAGAAGGGAAGATCTGGAGTAGAGGAACCTATCTTGAAAAAACAGGCCTTTCTCTCTACCCTCCTGCATTAATTACAATCGAAAGAAACACATAGTTAAGCAATGCAAAAAGCAATGATTGGGTGTGGATTAGGTCAATGTACTCATCAAACCTGTCAGCTGGGGGTCAGTGCAGTTGAAACAAAGGTGGCTTAATCTCAATATTGAGGTGAGTTTCATGCAGAATTAAGTTGGCCAGTTCTGATGCTGAGGACCAAAGTGAATATCCACCCAAATCCCTTCTATAAACAATTTCACATCTAGGGGAAGAACTTCTTGTTTATAAGTCAGTCATCCAGAAAAGAGGCCCCAGCAATCCTGGAACTGACGGTAAATCTAGATATGGCCAGAAATGATTCATAGTTTAGTACACCACTGGAATAATGACCGTCATCTACCATTCTTATGAGGGAGGACTTGGCTTGGGGCCAAAAGCAACGAGCTTGCAATGGACTGCAGGGACTACCCCTCCCACAGAGAGGCCTCCCCACCTTCCAGCCTTGAAGGGTCAATGTACTACAGAACGTGTGGCTCAAACCAAACCCACACAGCTTTAACAATGAAAAGATATATTTTTTACTCTGAGTTTTGGTCATGTCTCAAGCTTAGTTGTATAGCTTCATATAAACTCTCAAGTTGTGAAGTTGGAGATATCTCTTCCATCATTACTTGACGTTCTATTTTGCCTGGAAAAAGAAAAAGATATACAAAAATGGCTTTCCCTTTTTCTGTCATTTAGAATGTAAGACGAGTATTTCATGCTAGAAATTTGGGAAATCTGATGTACTGTCCTTTGGTCTGCCTCATCTGTTTGTTTGTTTTTTCTTGCAGGAAGGTAAGCCAGTGGGGAAAGATTAGCTGCTTCCTTCCCTGGGAAGCTTAGGCTTCCTCTGTCTCCTCCAGTTGACCACACTGAGTCAAGATTCCTTTGTCTTTCCTAACACAACTGGTCTTATCACCTTATTCTTCTCTCCATTTCCTTACTTTATGCTTTCACCTCCTCCTGCATCTCATTCCTTTTTTCTACATCCATTTTCCTCTTTTCCCTGTGTACTTTACAGATATCAGGAAAAACATCTACAATCCCATGTTTATTATAGCACTATTCACAACAGCATCAACTTAAGTGCCCTTCAAAGAATGAATGGATAAAGAAAATGGTATATGTATGATGGGATATTATTCAACCTTAAAAGGCAAGAAAATCTTGTTGTTTGCAACAATGCAGATGAACCTGGAAGACATTATGTTAGCTGAAATAAGCTAGACACAGAGAGACAAATACCGCATGACATCACCTACTTACAGAATCTAGAAAAGTCAAACTCCCAGGAGTAGACAGAAAGTGGCATGTTGGTTACCAGGAACTGGAGAGTGAGAGGGTTAGGGATGGGGAGATGTTGATCAAAGAACACAAACACAAAATTTTATTAAGGAAGAATAAATTCTGGAGATCTATTGTACAACATGGTAACCATAATAATCTTGCACTGTATATCTGAAAATTGCTAAGAGTATAAATTTCAAATATTCTCACTACAAAAAGGTAATAATATGTGAGGTGACCAATATGTTGATTAGTATGGCTTAACCATTCCACACTGTATACATATATCATAATGTCACATTATACCCCATAAACATATACAATTTTTGTATCAACTAAAAATAAATTTAAAACAACTTAAATTTTAAAACTCTACAAACTTCAGGTGGGCAGGAATGCTAAACCATCAGCCAGTGCTTGAAAGTTCTCCCTGGTGATGCACGTGGTCCAGCCCTCAGGCTGAGCCACAGCCTTCAACTGTCGGCCCTAGCAGAGAACCTGGGTAGCAAAACCAGCAGGAAAAGGAATTCTTATAATCACTGTAAAAAGGATCTCAGTTTCCATGCAGCTTGTGGAAAGGGCACAGAACTAGCTGGTGTTGAATTCACATCTGGGCAGTAACCTTTAGTAGCTGTTGATTTGGGGAAAGTGACTTAACCAAACTACACCTCATTCTCCTCATTTGTCAACCAGGATTGCTCAGGCCTTCCCTGAAGAGCTATTGTAGGAATCAGCAATAAGGGGTATAAAACACTGACTGTGGGGCCTAGTGTGATGTAGATTCTCAGCAAATGAGAATGATCGTCGTCATCTTTTTCTCACTGCTAAAATGGCTGTAATAAAATTATATAAGGGTATTATGTAAATAGGTATTGCATATAAATTGTAAGCACACATATGCTATAGCTATTTGATTTCAGTGATATGCATCTCTTAGTTATAGAAAATAACCAAAATGCTTAGCTAATTAATAAACTAATGTAGAAAAAAATATCTTCCATGCATTATTTAGGTAACATTATTTATAGCTAGGTGGGTGATACTGACTTTTTAATTTTTTTTAATTTTTTTGGTTAAACATGAAACTTTGTATAAGAGAAGGGTCAATTGCAGTTATAAAAGAAATGAAGTAGTAGTACTTTTTTTTCCTTTCTAGATGTAAACTTGAAACCAGCAGTGTTCTTTTATCTAAAATTGAATTTGACAGAGATACTAGTGTGTTTAGTTATCGCCAAGCTCTTTGTAAAATCTGTAACTTTTAGTCAGTAACCACATTTTTCAGAAGCCTATTCTTAATAGGAAACAACAGCTCCTAATTTTGTCATAGTTCTGACCCCCAGGGCATCTTACCTTTCTGAAAAAGGACTTCCGCTTCCACTTCACTCTCCTCTCTTGCTGCTGTCCTGCAGAGCACCAGCGCCATTTCAAACAGATGGAGAGCAGGTACCCACTTTGGGGGGTCCCTCTTTTGATAGCTATAATGTATTTGCTTGGCCATGGTATGTCCTAAAAGAACAACAGTTGGATGGGAGAGAACAATAAAAAATGTAGTGTTCATAACAAGCCTCCACGTTCCAGACCACTCTTGGAGTAATGACATCTATTAAAAACTCTGGTGGTCTGCACTGTTTTTAGCATCCAAGAAATGTTGAAATACTTGAAACAGTGAACTATAACAATAACCTTTGGAAACTTCATCTTTCTTATTTCAAAATATTAAGGGATACAGACGTTTTTGATACATGGACTTGAGTCAGGCTTATAAATGTGGCAAGTAGTGTTCATTATACCCATCAGGTGGGTTTTTGCCCTTTCTCTCCTCCTCTTGTTTCCCAGGGACTTTTACTGCCCTCTGTGTACTTGTGTGACCACTGGTTGATTCCAACTTATTAATTTTCCCATGTTTTCTTGTTTTTAAAACAAAGGATAGTCTCCGAATCTCTTTCAGTTCTACAATTTCTCAAAGCTCTACAAAACAACTTCAATGTTCCTAAGATGAGATTATTAGTAAAGAAACATCTGGAAGTTTTATGTTGTTTTCAATAACATTTGCATAAATTAATAGGCAGTAATTTTCTTTCTATTAAGCAGTTGAGCACTAGCTTACTATGCATTTTTTTTGTCATCCCAATTAGATAGCAAACTCATAAGGACAAGGGCCACATTCTACACTGAATATAGGGTCCCATCATCATTCAACATAATGAAGGACTATTATATGCAAGAGGCATTAGACTTTATCTGTGTGGCCTCAAAGAAAAAAGACATTTATTCAGCAAATATTTTCTGAGTGTGTAAGCACAATATGAACATGAGAAAAGAGAATGATAAGAGTTAAGAGTTAGTAAATGCTTTCTATATGTCCAGCACTGTCTCAGGTACGTAACGTGCATTCTTCACATGACACATGATCCACATTCACAACGGAGACCATGATTATGCATATTTGACAAAGGACAAGGCAGTGGCTCCACAGATGGGTTTCTTTTTACATTATTAAAATACTAAGTTTATTTCACATGTATCTTTTTGTCTCCGCACCATTTCCATGTCTGACTCCTGCTACTACTATGCCCATAACATTCCATACACTCTTAGGGAAGGCTGGAGTTCCATTCTTAAAAAATAAACAGGCATTTTCGGACAACACATGCTTGGCAATCGAATCTGGACAACATGTATCAAACACAGTAGGGAAAGTTCTCACTCTGCATTATAAAAAGGACAGCCAGATATCAACTGTTATAGAAGTGAAGTAAGATGGAAAATTTTAACCAACTGTTTAAACTAATTTTTTGTTGTTGTTGCAGTTTTTGGCCAGGGTCAGGTTTGAACCCACCACCTCCAGTATATGGGGCCAGCACCCTACTCCTTGAGCCACAGGTGCCACCCTAAACTAATTTCTTAAAGAGACTTCCTCTATTGCCAGAAATTTTGTATAGCCTCCTGGTCAGTCCTCTGGAAGCAATTCTTCACAGTATTGATGAAGTTGGCGTCCACTTTGGGAAGAGAACCATCCTTTTCTATACTTGTTTGCATTTTTGCCTTAACGTCATCTACAGAACTAGGTCCCTCTGGATGTTTTAGGAGTTTTTTCCTGACTTTTGAAGGAGTCTTGACATTTTAATCTTTGTGTTGATGGTTTTGAATCCTTTCTATTCTGTTTTGATTTTTGTGCATTTTTGGGCTAGAGTATCTCATACGGATTTCTTCACTGAAGCTTTTCTTTAGATACCTCATCATCAAAAGTATCTTCTTCTCCTACTTCTGTCCTTCCTTCTTTTCCTCTTCCTCCTCCCCTTCCTTCATCTTCAGCAGCAGTAAGTTTTATTTTTTTCTGTGGAATCTTGCTACCACTGCCAGGGGAAAATCACTTTCCAGACATCATCAAGAGTTTCACATCCTCCTCCTCTTCATCTTCTGGTTCCCTATCTTTCTCTATAGCTACTAAATGCTTCCCACTAATATGTACAAGCCCTGAACCACACTTCAACAGGTGGTGTCTTTTCAAAGGCCCCCCAGGAGAAACTGCCAGTGGTACAGACATTTTCAAAGCTGCCAGTGTTACTTTAATTGCACCACCCTCATAATTCACTGTCTCTGCTTCAACAGTGTGCAATTCATACTCTATACCAGCCTCTAAACTGACCATTCTTAAAGACAACAGGTGCTCATTTTCATCATTATCCAACTTAAAATGACCTTTGTCAGCCTTTGGTTCACAACCAAAAAGATGGTCCTGGGGCCTCAGGGGGCTCGTGTCCAGGGGGTTCAGTCTCCCATTTAGATGGGAGAGAAGGCAGATGGAGATGAACAACTGCTGCCTTGAAGGACAGCCATGCAGGATGGAATCACACCCAGGGCCCAGTGAGGTTTAGTAACTTGCCCAAGGTCACATGCTAGTAAAAAGCAGGGCCATCATTTGAACCTAGCCAGTCTGGCTCCAGAGTCTCCACCCTAAACAATAATACTGTGCAGCCATTTAAGAGGTTATCAACAGCCACACAGGCAATCAAAATACTACATGGCTGACTCTGCAACAGGGAAAGCACAGGGCACTGTGATAGCTGTTAAAGGGGCCCTGGCCCAGATCCCCGAAAGGTCAGGGAAACTTTCCTAGAGAACACAGCTCTTTGGGCTGACAGCTGATGATTGCCTTGTCTTTGGGAATCATAAAGAAGAAAATGTCAACATAAAGAGTAGAAAGCAACTAGGGAAAATACTACATTGATACAATAGTTGAACACACACAATAAAAAAATATGAACTGAAAGGCAATGTAGATTGCAGAATACACATGCTGAGTTTCTAGCTGAAGCCATAGATTCTGACCTGAAATCAGTGCTACCACGTCACTTGAGGCTTTGAACAAGTCACTACATACTTCTGGCCTTGACTGTCTTCTTCTGAAAAAAAACAAGGCAGCAGAACTAGAAAATAACAAGGTCCCTTTGAAATTTTTTATTCCATGATGCTATACACTATAAATAATTTTTTTAAAGACGTAGAAGTTTTTGCAAATTTTTAGTTCAGGAATGTGCTATAGGAATGGCATGATCAGGGATAAATTCCCAGTATTTTTCTCTGTCTCTCCATCTTCTCATCCAGGAAGACGTTACTGTGCCCTTACTCTGGGCCAAGCAGGATGATAGGACATGGCAGAGAACATGGAAGTGAAGAAGCCCAGTCCTTGTTCCAGGAGGCTCCCAAAAGAGTGAGGAGGCCAGGCATGGAAAGCCAGAATAGCTGACACCTATAAGGTTCTTAGACCAAGCAAGCTGCCCTTCTAAACACATCATATACTCTGCTATCTGGTGCCCACAGGCAGGGGTATGTATGTGTACTGATCCACATTTCAGACAAGAGGAAATGGAAGCCCAGGGAATTTAAATGACTTGTTCGAGGGAATTGAGTAAGAACACATTTTCCAGAGTTTTCATTTTTAACCTCAATAGTTACCAATTGTGATTAGATCCTAGGCAAGAAGAGAAAGACAAGATATACTAATATAATTATATGAAATCTCATATTTTAATGCATCCCCCATTTTTATATATTTCACTTGTTTCAAATAATACTAAACTGTTAGTAATATAAGACAAAATTATTAACATAAGACAAAAATATCTTCAAGTCATCATGGGATATATGTATGTATATATGAATACATAGTAGCAGTACTGTATATACTATTCTTAGTACTATATATTACATACTATATGCATATATATGATATATAAACTATAGGATATAGTACTACATACTTGGTACTAATACATAATAATCAGACTTAAATTGTCTTCTAGACTTTTGTCAAAATTAGAATTTTTACAAAAATTCTTGACTCCTCTCTCTCTCCCTAACTAGATAATAGGCCCTTTGAGGGCACAGATGATGACCGGCTCCCTACAATATCCCCGCTTCTCATCATTAGTGCACATAAGTGGTCCTCGACAAACATCTGTTAATTAAATAAATGTAAAATCTTTAAATGACCTTTATTTGTTCCTATTATACAATTAGGAATCCACTTTTTCATCTAATAAGGAAGCGCAAGGTTTACTCATTAATGGGAAAAACAATCTTAAATAATCAGGATGCTTATTTTAGTTTTATGAAAATAATCTCAAAATGCCTTTTTCTATCAAAGCCTTTTGCAAAGAAAAAGATGTTAAATGGATCTTTTCTTGTGATTCGATCTATACTATGAAGAAGAACTGCCTAGAAAGCATCAAGTCACAGATGATTTTGTGCTTTATAATATTGAAGTGTTCCTTTTTCTAGTAAATATCAACTGTGTGAAAAAAGATGTCGTGAAACTGATGTTGTTTTGACAGGAAACCTGCTTTTGGTTTTGTTTTTTAAGTCTGTATTTAATATAATATACCAAAAAGCAAGCTGTTCAGCTTCAAGTGAATCTAAAACACAGCAACAGTATTGTCATTGAGTGGTGACACATCTTCAAGATTAGTAAGTTAGAAAAGCAGAGAATACATTTGGTTTAACACAATCCGTATGATTCAACACAATCTGTACTTAAAGCTCCCGTAGAAATCAAATGTCCTGATAATATAAGAAAGTATGGACTAAAAATACGGAAAAATAGCTCCAGTGAGATTAAGAAACTGGAAGGAATTTGAGAGGCCAACTAAAGCAGCCTGACTGTATTAAGTAAGGAAATTTACCAGTCTAGAGGGGAAGGGATTTAGGTAAAGTAATAACATTTGTATCTGATGATAATCGCAGTCGTAATACCAAAGATCAGTAATAACAATGAAAGGGGGAGCAGAAGGCAGATGAGGAGAAAAGTCTCGACAGGTAATAGCACGGGTGTGTGCTTTTTGCCTTTCCTTCCCTAATCCACCAGCTTCTCCTGAGCTGAGCTCACCTTCTGAACAGAGTTCCCTGAGAGAGATAAAAGGACCAGGAGCCAGAGCAAGGCCCAAAGGCTGGGCAGCTTTGGCAGGGGGAAGCCTGCTCCCCTGACAAAGGAGTGAGGCCAGCTGGTTTTTGTTCATGGACATTAAATTAAGCAATTTTAAAAATAGAAGCACTTAACAGCATTAGTTATAACCTAAAAGACATAATGCATTTTTACAAATTCCTCTCCAAAACCTTCTTTACCAGTTTGTGCCACAAATTTAAAGAAGTTAGATAACAGTTTAGAGCACAAAAACAATTTCAGTTAAGAAATGTGCTTTATTTGGTGTTTATAGGATTTTCCCCCCAGTAAATTGCTGAAAGGTACAGCAATTTTAAAGTAGATGTTGTGAGTATAACTGCAATCCAAATGATTAATTTACTGGACGACATGCCATAATAGTCCAAAGCAAGTAGTAGTTACATATGTTATAATTACTGTGATCAACTTCATGCTTTATCTGCACATTAAGACCATCCATTCATCACACAGAGTTTGGCACATAGTAAGTGACCAAAAACTATCTGTTAAAAAAACGGAGCCTGAGTATTCATCAATATGGCATCTTTTAAATGCCTTCATATGAGAACTTGCCTAAAAACAACTTAAAATTTGTCACCAATTTCTCTAGTGCAATGTAGGTTTAAAAGTCTTACCAATTCTCATTTTTATTTTGGCCAATAACATGACATGAGGAAGATAGATATTATTCAAAGGTTGTAATGGATTTGCATATTCGGTATTTGATAAAGGAAATTCAACTTTTTCTCCAAAATTTAGCATCTATAAAAGAAACATGGCAATGAGCAATTAGTTAATGTGGTTTGGAGCAAGAAGAAAGACAGAAAAGTAAGTTTTTAAACCTTGCAGACACAAAGTGTCCTGTCACCTGTTTAATAAGGATGTTGTGAGCCAGAGTCAAAAAACACAATTTTTCTGTTTTTAAAAAGTAAGATTCCTTGAATTTCTCAGCTTTGGTTAAGTCATCCAGCAAAACCAGACTTCTTGCCAGTGTTAATGAAGATTGAGGAGAAATAAATTCATTTCCTTCAAGCAGATGTATTATCTCCTATGAAAATAAAATTATTCCTTATGATAGTACTGTCTCCAATTCTCTGAAACAAGAGCTGGTCATGTTGATTGTTAGGCATTTGGAATCTATTGAAATTTAAAATTTTCTCCTTGTGTTCTAACTGGCATGCCTCCCCCTAAATGTAAATGTGAACCTCCTACCTGAAGGTTTTTTATGATGTCTGCCTTTAAATGCTTTTCTTGGAGGCCCAGGACCACGGCTTGCGTCAATAATTCAGCCTGTAGCTCCGGGTTGTCTGCACTTTTTGCCTCCATACATACTTCATTGATGAGGCTCATACAATCTGTCATATCATTCTCTAAAATAAACAAATGTGGTTGCTTAAAATGGTGGGATCTCACCTACTGGGCACAATGCAAGGGTACACTTCAAAACGATGAAGAGTAAAATATAAATGTCTTTCCACAAAAAATAAGTAAGTGAGGTGATGGTTATGTTAATCAGTTTGATTTAAGCAATCCACATTGTATATCAAATCATCACATTGCACCCCATAAATGTATACAGTTATGCTTTGATAAAAAATTAAATTAAAAAATAAAAACAATATTCATTCAAGAATAATAGATCCAAAAAGTGATAAAGTATATACAGGGAAGTGTGGCCATAAAGTTTGTGCACAATTTCTTTTTTTTTTTTTTTGGTAGAGACAGTGTCTCTTTGTAGACAATGTCTCTTTGTATCACCCTCGGTAGAGTGCCATGGCATCACATAGCTCACAGCAACTTCCAACTCCTGGGCTTAGGCAATTCTCTTGCCTCAGCCTCCTGCACAATTTTTTTTTAATTTAAAAAATTTTTGAACTTTATGTCCATCTCGTATGTGCAATATCCCAAGTATTCATCCCAGAAATACTGTGAAATATCAAAGAACAAGAGTATATTAAGACAGAAAACAAGCAGACTCTCCAGGAAACATAGAAAAGAAATTTGCTACAACTTGGGGGAACGTACTTTATGATATTCCAGTGCTGCAAAAGTAAAACAGAAAGGATATGCAAGAGATTTACTAATCGCTGTAAGAACTAACATTTGTATGTGTTGGTCTGTGACCTAAGAACTCTAGAAAGTTAACCCATTTTATTCTGACAGTAATTCTGTGAAGTAGAATTTTCACAGCAGGTGACTGAGGCACAGGGGACTCAGAGCTGGGGCCAGGAAGTGGTAGATGCAGCATTTGCAACCAAGTGAGTGGGCTCCAGAATCTGCACTCTTCTCTCTGACAATCAGCCACTGTCTCAGAGGAAGACAAGACTGAGAATCAGTATTTTTAAATCTCCTTGCCTGTCCTGCACATACTGGTAACACATATGCCACTTTCAATGGTAAAAAGGACTATTAAAAATGATGATTCTTAATAACCTAAATTTTTAATCTAAAAACAGATCAAGCTAAAAGGTGACAAGATGTTAACATTACAATAAAATATATCCCAATAAAGCATCCTTCACCCATATAAAATTAATTTTTATGAAAACATTAAGAAAATAGCACATTTTGGTGATTATAAATTGAGCTGTGATAAACAGTCTAGTGCAAATGTCCTTATGATAAAATGATTTTTTTTTCCTTCTAGGTAGATGCCTAGAGTGGAAACAACCTAAATGCCCACCAACCCAGGAATGAATTAACAAGCTGTGGTATATGTACACCATGGAATACTATTCAGCCCTAAGAAAAGATGGAGACTTTTTATCTTTTGTATTAACCTGGATAAAGTTGGAACACATTCTCCTTAGTAAAGTATCACAAGGATGGAGAAACAAGAATCCAATGTACTCAATTCTAATATGAAGCCAGTAGATGATCCAATACATACCCTCATAAGAGAAAAACTCAAATCAATTCAAGGCAAAGGGCAGGGAAATGAGGGAGCAGAGGGAAAAGGGGAGGTAGGAGGGGCGGATTATATTATATGGCACACCTCTTGGGGTTGGTACACAATTCTAAGAGGGACTTTACCTAACAAATGCAATCAGTGTAACCTAATTCTTTGTACTCTCAATGAACCCCAAATAATGAATAAAATAATAATCACACACAAAAAAGAAAGTAGGACCTTTGTACCTTTCACGATTCCAATGCCACGGACCTGTGCAACAAATGCAGTCACCAACGCTAAGCGGCACCTTAGCCACAGATGAATGTTGAAATATTCTCGGGCATTCAGGGAAACAGGGTCCAAAAACTCATTATCGTCTTTATTTTCAGTTGTCTGAAAAGTATTAAAATGATTAGTCATGTCAAAGTTCTAGGCGAAGATTAAATGTAAGTTAAGAAAAGTATCTGGTATCATTTCACAGCAGTAAAATTTTAAATTTAGAAATTATTTTTGTACATTCTATAAAATATTAAAAATATACAAAACAAAAAAATAAATCATCCACAATTCTGAAATTCTCTATCAACATTTTGGCATACTGTTTTTCAGCTTTTCTTTTCTCTCTATACCCAATGTGGAAAAACAGTCTAGCTGTCTAAATTTTTCATTACAAATTACATATCATTAGCCATCTCCATGTCACCAAAAGTTTTTGTAAATATCATTTTAAGGACTGAAAGTAATAAATAATATTCACTAATATTTATTTAGTGCTTATGAAGTGTTAGGCGGCATACCACTTGCTTTATATACATTATCTTATTCACTCCTCCTAAAAGCCCAAGGGGGTTCTTATCATTTCCATTTTATAGTCGGGAGAAGTGAGACATAGAAAAATTAACTGTCTTGCTTAAGGTCCATCATATTTTGGCAGAAGTAGCATCCAAACCTCTGTCTTCCTGAATTTACAGTCCAGATTCTTTTTTCTTTTTTTGTTTTTGAGTAGTCCTGGGTAGAATGCTGCAGCGTCATAGCTCATGGCAACCTCAAACTCTTGGGCTTAAGCAATCCTCTTGCCCAGCCTCCGAGAAGCACACTGCAGGTGTGCGCCACAACATCCAGCTAGTTTTTCTATTTTTAGTAGAGACTGGGGTCTCTATCTTGCTCAGGCTTGTCTCAAACTTCTGAGCTTAAGCAGTCTATCTGCCCCTGCCTCCCAGCATGTTAGGATTATAGGTGTGAGCCACCACACCCAGTCTAGGTAAGAATCCAGAGTCTTAATCCACTGTGTTCCATTGCTGTCTGCCATTCACATTCCAAACACCAATTAGATTCTAATTGATCTACCATCCTCATTATTACACTTTACAAAGGGTGGTGAAGGTCCAGAGCTACCTGGAGGACCAGCAAGGGAGTTTTTTCTAGGAGGCAGTCCCAGAAACTTGGGAACTTTAAAGTCATTCAGCATAACCCCTACCTATGCTAGGAATTTACTCCTGTGAATCTCTGACAGTTCATCACAAGTTACATTAATCTAAATCAGGGCTTCTCAATTGCAGCACTATTGACTGATATTTTGGGTCAGATAATTGTTGTAGGGGGGTGTCCCATAACAACATCCCTGGCCTCTACCTAGAAGATTCCAATAGCTCCTCTTCCAGCTGTGACAATGCAAATATTCCTTGATATTGCCAAATATCCCCTGGGAGGTGAAGTCAACCCTGTTTGACGATTGTTCTAAGTCAATTCTTAGAATTAGATTGCTTTTTAACACTTTTATTGCTTTTAATATAGAAAGAAATGAATCTCTATAGAGGATAATTAGTTTTACTAATTTAAAATGGTGCTAAATATTAGCAATTTTATTAGTAGGGTTTGAAATAATAATAAAGGGTTCTATGTGATAAATTTTTATGTTAATTCTAAACAACCCTCTGTCATTAAATTACTTGATCTTATCAAAGTCCTGTCACAGAATCTGTGACACCAGTTGTCAAGTAGATTTGGGAGCTTAAATGGAAGAATTTAACTATGAGGAATCCAAAGTAGGAAATAGCACAGATGTTTTACTGGCAATGCTGAGGGAACAAATTCAAAAGTGGAGTGAAAAGGGTGTCTTGTGAAATAACTTTATTTGCCAGACAGATTATATTGAGATTGCTATGATGACATACGTGGATGGGACCTTAGTGACTGTGACACCCAATCCCATCAGTTCACAAATGAGATTACATTTTTAAGAAAATTTAAGGAACTTGCCCAAGGTGTGACGGTTAATAAATAGGACCTCAAAACAGATCTTTTTACTCTGAATTCAATGTTTTTTCTACTTGACCTCTTTGCTTCATCCAAATATTAATGAAACAATTTCCTAGCAGGCTAGTAGTTATTATATAACAAGTATTCTAAGGAAAGGCATTAAATTCATACATACATAAGCTCCTGGAGAGGTGGGGTGCTCTGTGCTATCTTGTACCACCTTCTTTTTAAAGAGTTTTGAATCCTGAAGAAGCTGTAGCGTGGGGATTATTATTGCTGCACTGAAATAGAGAATATATTGTAAATGTTATTATGTAGTGTTATACATGTGGCATTTGTATATTATTTCCTAAGTCTCTTTCTCAAAAAAAAAAAAAAAGAAAGGAAAAAAAAATCCTTTCTCCACTCTCAGCTACCTCCAAAACCATTAGGTGCCCTTCGTGCGTGCCCTAACCTCCCCTGGTCTTAACCACCCTCTTGTAATCACTACACTACATAACTGCTTGTATATTGATTTACAGCTAATTTGTCTTACTCCCTATGGAAACCCAGCATCTATTTATAGTGTAGTGACTGGGACATAATAGACACTAAAAAGTATTCCAAATGAAAACAAGCAAGTAAAAGAATAGATGAATGAATGTTTTCAAGATCTAATAATATACTGATAATCTCATTATTGTAAGGATTAAATGACATCTTTATTATTTTATTTGTTCAAAAATATATGTTGAGCAGTAACTACAGGCCAGGAAGAAAAACTAGGAGCCAGGGATAGGGCAATAAACAGGCACTCCTGCCCACAGGGGGCTTACACTCAAGTGAAAGCGGGGTGTGCTTATCAAATAGGAGTGCTTGACAAATAGATGCCACATAATGAGTGCTGGCTATCATCATTATCAGTGTGTTGAGCTGGCAGGGGGTGGGGAGAAGAATGGAGAAGACTAAGTTCACTTTTTAAAAGTTAATAATCAACATCCCAACTTTTTAGAATTTTTGAATTTTAAACTTCCAAGATTTTGCTGAGCTATTAAAACAGTTTAAATATTTGTAGGTTTGTTTTTTTTTTTTTTTGCAGTTTTTGACTGGGGCCAGTGCCCTACTCGTTGAGCCACTATTTGTTGTTGCCCTATTTGTAGAATATTTTCTGAGATATTACTTGGGATTATCTAACCTGTTTCTGTTTTGTTTTGATTTGGCTTGGGTTTTGTTAAAAGATAAGGTCTCTGTCACGCAGGTTAGAGTGTAGTGGTGTCATCATAGCTCACTGCAACCTCCAACTCCTGGGCTCAAGGGATTCTTCCACCTCAGCCTCCCAAGTGCTATAGCTGTCTGCCACCACAGTTGCTAAGTTTTCTATTTTCTTGTAGAGATAAGGTCTCACTCTTGTTCAGGCTTCAGCCTCCCAACATGTTAGGATTATAGGTGCCCAGACTAACCTGCTTTTTACGTAAAATAAAACTAAACAAACAAGCAAGAAAATAACAACAAACATACCCTAGAGTCAGTGTATATACAGGTAAAAAGTTTCCTATCTACTTGTCCTTCCTCCCTGAAGCCTAGACACTTCTCCAAGGCACCTCGTTCAGCACAGCCCGGCCACTAGAGAGGCCTGGGAAAAGACAGTCCTGCCCAGTCCAAGTCCATTCTCCCTCTTCTGAAGCTCAAATTCTGATTTCAGGGGAAATAAGGTGTGAAGTTTCACATTTTGCTAATTCAAAAATTTAATGAAGGAACTAGCAGACATACCAGCATGTTTTAATCTACCTGGTGATGCTTAGTCGCACAATGGAAAATTTCTAGTTACTCCACTTGATGGATGGAAAGCATGAGAAGATTACTCACCACCAACAGGCTAAAATGCCAAAGGAAAGAAGTTTTGCTCTGACACAAAATTAAAAGGCTCAAATGTTTCTTTATTTAGGCAATTAAATATAAAAGATAGGAAGGAACACTTTTTAAAAATATATATAAGATTTTGAAGGAGAGAGACAGCCATAGAAGTAGATATGCACTTTGAATAACTTTGATTCCATTTGTTTCTTATTAACATTCACAATAAAAATGGTCAGTTTGTTCTCATAAAATCCATGCAGCTCACTCTACTTGTCACCTTAGGGGATGCGCCTTTCAATTTCTTTGACACATAATTTTATTAGAAATCTCATGAAATGTCAAGCTAACCGTCATTTGGAAAAGGGACTGTCCAACACTCTCAGTAGTACCCAAACAGAAGCTCGTGGGGGGCAAAGTTCACGTAAGAAAAACTCATTCATCGTGACAGTAGGCTTCCCCTAAATGACAACTCTGCTCCAAAAAAGGCAATAACATCAAAGTTTCTCCAGGTTTTGTCCCAAGGGCCAGGTTCACGGATTTAAAAAAAGAGTGATTCTGATTTATTTGCACATCATTTGCATATGTCTATCACATCTTCAAATTAAAGTTCTATTATGACAGTCCCTTCTGTGGCCGTTTTGTAATTTCTGGTTTCTCATTTCTTTCTTCCTGCCTAAAGGAAAAAATGATTACTCATATTCTCCATACAAGGGCATAAGACACGTAGAGAGCTGGGAAAAGAATGAAGATAAATGACAAATATTTTCTAGGGCTGCTGTTGCTCTGAGACATAGTTTGGAGGAAAAAAGTTCTATAGAAAATTATATACTAAAAGTTCCTTCTCCCTTCAAAATCCATTGGGGAAAGTGATATATTATTATACTAAGTTTATGGTACAGTCAACTACCATTGTATCCTTAAAGAGACCTACACATGTGATAATACTCTATAGTTCTCAAGCTTCTGTCTTAATTTCAGCACCCCCTACACCCCTAAAAATTAGAATCCCAAGGAGCTCTATCAACATTTATCATATTAGACATTAAACTGAAAATATTTTAGCTTCCTTTAAAAGAAACATAATACACCCATTACATGTTAATATAAATAATACATGTTATGCAAAACTATATTTTCAAAAAAAAAATTAGGGAGAAGAATGTCACGGCTCTCTTTAATGCCTGGCTTAATAAGAAACAATCTAACTCACAGAAGCCTTTCACATCTACTTCTACATTCAGTGTTGCGTAAAATACTGTTTAGGTTGAAGTATATGAAGAAGACGAGGCCTTGACTGGGTAGGGCAAGAGTATTTTAATAGCTGTCTCAAAAAACTGTTTTAATGGTCTTCTTTGCTGCTACACCAAAGCAGCATCAAAATGACAACTATCACATGACAAGTGACAGTTTCTTGAAAGTTTATTGCAATATAGGATGTAATGCCACATATTGATGAACCTTTCCTACTCTTACATTAAAGTATTTGTCTATCTTGTTAACTGTAATTTTGTAACATCATGAACCAGTCATTTGGAAAATATTTTCTCCGTGAGAAACTACACTTAGATATTGAAACTTTTCATTACCTAGTATTTTTTTTAAAATCATGTTTATTAGTATTACCATCAGAAAATATTCACAGAAAAGAATTCTAAGCATTAGAAAACTTTCAAGTTCATGGTAGCATATACAAGCTTTCTGTTATTCAGACTTTTTGGTCAAAGTTCAAATTTTATGACTGGCAACAAATTCTATCAGGTCTTTCTCTAGAAGTGGCAGTCAATTTGCTTATTTTCAATAAAATGTATTCCAAATACCCAAGCTACAGCAACCACAGCTCATTAGTTGGTTTTTTTTTTCAAATAAAAATGGTATTTCATAAAGAAAGAAGCTTGTCCTGCTGTCAGTTCAATCACATGTGTTCTTCCTCAAAATAACCATCGGCTTGACATGCAGCTGACATGCCTAGGTATATTTCTCATTTAATATGCCCGCAGGATATTAAACATATATAGAGATTTATAAATGAAACCAATTCTACTGCTCCACCAAGGACATTCTTAAGTAAAATTGGCTTTTTTTTAATTGCAAGCATGTGCGAGTGAGGACTATACCAACTACTGGTACAGTTTCTTGCTATTGCTTTGATTCCTGGTGAGGTGCCAGAAATCTTACCATTGTTATTCGGGCAGCATCAATGTAAAGAACACAGAGGAGAAGGCAAATGATGTCTTAATTTTACTACTGAAATAGATTCCCCATGCCTAGCTGGCCTGGAAGCCACTCCTAAGGATCTGCAGACCACATACTGAGAATCACCACTCCAAACACACTTTATAAATTTTCACCACTTCTTAGAAAGCACAAAAATTATAAATCCCCCAAAACCTATACTGTCATTTAGATTTAGATGTGGTTCATCATGAAATAGCCTTCTGTCAAGGTTCATACTGTTGAGACGAGTGTATGTTTCCATTCAAAGGAAAGAGAGCTTTCTGCTGAATTCATTTCCTCTTTGAAATGTGCAAGTGGGTTTCTCCTGTGCACAGAGGATTGACAATCTAAAAATCTTAAATTTAAATCTCCCTTCAAATTCTGAATCTAATGGAGTTTAATACATGAAATTTCATTATAAACAAAGAGAATTAAGGAGAGAAAAAAATAAATAATATATTTCATTTAATATGATAGTTTCCTATTTTCTTTCGGTGGCTATACATTTTCACCTCTAGAATTTCTATTTGGCTCTTTTTAAAATCCATCTATTTCTTTCTTATGCTGTTTTATTCTTGCTTTATCATTCATCTTTAATATCTTTGAACAATCTATTTCTTGGGCTGTGAAATCTGCCATCTATTATGTCTCCTAACTCATTTATGGCTGTTTCCTCATTGGGTTTACAGTATTTGACTTTGTCCTATCTGTGGTGGGAACTGTTTTCCATGGGAGTCTTACATTTCCTGGGTAAATCCCTGAGGCAGTTCTGGTTTTTCCTCTGCTCCAGCCAACTGGACCAGTTTTAAAGTTAATCTATCAAGGTTTCTGCATTTTTGAGTGGTGTCATTTGGGACTACAGAATTCCTAATGGCCTTGGCCTCAGAAACTGATTTCTCTTGGGTGACTCTTTCCATCTATCCTCTAGGCAGGCATCCAGTTTCCTTGCTAGTCCCTAGAGATGATTCTGGACGTCCCTAAGGATAGAAAATAACTTTTGTCTGTAGTAACAAAAAAGAAAAGACTGAACTCCTACTCGTCAGTGTCCCAATTACATCAGAACATCAACTTTTCCCTCTCTATTAATTAGCACTCTATCTATCATCATTCCCATTCCAGCAAGAAAATGAGGGAGCAACTGGGCTTTCTTATTTTTTCCCCAGGTATGGAGCAGGGCTTGAGGGCTCTTAGCCATTGAATACCAAAATGGAGTCATACTTTTTTTTCATCTATAAAATTATTTTATTTCTAGTCAAATCATGCTTTATTTTATTCTAAGTCTTATTTGATAAATAAAAAGATCATGGTGGGATCATTATTAATTTTAAGTGATTAGAGTTTAAATAATTACTGTTGTACTCAGAAACTAAACAAAGTATTTATTTGCTAATAGAAAATCCATGGGCCATTACAAAATTTTTGAGATTTTTTTATTACAACCACGTAACTTAAAAACAACAACCCCTCCTCCTCCTCCTCCAACCTCTACTCCTGATATTCTCCATAGCACTTATAATTTTTGGCCATGCTATATAACTTACTTATTATGTTTGTACCTTGTTATCAGCCTGTTTATGATTAGAATGTAAACTCTATGAAGGCAAGACTTTTGTCAGTATTTGGATATACTTTGTTTACATTGTATCTGTATTAGGCCACAGATATGTGCCAAGAGCTTAGAGCAGTGCTTAGCATATTCTAGGTACTCAAAATTATTTTTAATGAATGATAAGAAGTGTGTGCATTACTCAGTGAATCATTATTGAACATGTCAGGATTTCATGAGAGACATGCTTATTATAAATAACATTTCTATATTATTAAATATGAAAAACATCACCATGATAGTATTATTTTTTGGTACGCTACTTAATTATTTATATGTCTGTGAGCATTGGATACAGGATCTTTTCAGCTCTGTATCCCCAGTCCTAGATCGGAGCCTAGTAATGAGACAGTTAACAGATACTGGGCCGAGTAAATGAATGAATCAATAAAAAAGGTAAAGGAAAGATCTGATGTCAACCATTGCAGCATATTTAAATAATCAGCCATCTACAACAGTTTATTAAATAGTTCAGCACAATGTAGTTTAGAAGATACTACTTTTTCAAAACAGAGCTTGTCGTTAGCATTTGTATTCAATGCTTAAGAAAAAAAAACACTCTATAGGTTTTATTTGTAAAAAGCTATAAGGAATTTCAGTCTGCTCCTTTGAAAAAATAAAATAAATATATAAACAAAAATCAAAGCACTGTTAATTTGTTCATTCTTTACATGACATTAAACTTCTAGCTATATGCTTTAATAGCAATTGCTTTGTTGAGAACCATAGTTTTAGGAGAAGAAGTTCTCTGAATAATAAAACCCTAAGTACTCAACGGATCCTGGAATTTCTAAAGCTTGCATGAAATTTAAACATATTCAGCCAATTGGGGAGAAGAAGAAACTATTCTGCACAGGAGGAGACTCACCTGTATGCTGCCCGGTGTCTCTGCAGGGCGATCGCAGCCAGCTGAAGTCTGCCCTCCACCACAATCTCCAACTCCCCAGCAGAGCACTGAGAAAGGTTCTTGTGGCCCAGACGCTCCTTCTCTGCCAAAAGGATGTTTATCTTTTCTTCAGCTTCTGCCAGCAAAACTGACTAAAGTAAGGGGACCACACAGTTGGGTTAAGTTCAGAAGTAACACAAATTGTGTCTTATTCTTATGTACCAATTTTTAAAATGAAGGAAGAGCTAAAAGGAAATCTGTCCCTAATCAACAGAGAAGAGGGCATAGTGAACAGGGAAAAGGCAACAAAAAAATGCAAGGGAAAGGGACAGCAAGCAGGAGCCTGCACTGCAGTGACCCATTACCATATGTGAGGCCCATGCTCATTATTCACAGTCGATGCGTTGAATCTGTAATGCTGTTACAAACACTGCCTAATGAATGCTAAACCATTGCTCCTAGGGGAGATACACAGATAGACTCCTGCAAGCCTCTTGTCACAACCTCTTCATTGACTGCTCAATACACAACCTGTTTAATACGTATTTATATTTAAGAATACATTATTTAATATATACTGTTGATTGATTAACCTTGAGCTTACAGCCAGTAGCACTATAACTGATGTCTGAACAAACCTTATCTAACACACATGTATTCTCTGAGGGGTACATCATGGCATTCGTGTACTTGGAAACCCCAGACAGCACTTCAGTATTACTCTTAAGGGTCATTTTAAGTAGCAAAATCACCCCCCAAAAAAGCACAAAAATGAAAAAAAAGTGTAAACAAGTGTTATTCTGTTTATGAAGAATACTTGTTTACCCCATGAGAGCTGAAACAAAAAGGCAGAGTGTCACCTCTTCAACCTAGCTGGGAACGTGCATATGGAGTGACTCAAATTTTTCTACGCTCTAGGTGTATCCACAAATAATAAAAATGGTGCCAAGCATTGATTTTGAGTTTACAAATAACCTGTAGTGTCTAGACAAATTGGTAAACATGGAATCCATGAATTATGAGAATCGACTGTCCAAATTATGGTCACCTAAATTGGTAATACGAAGATAATTAGATTTGACATTAGACAATCAATAGTAAACAGAAATCTGACTTGGCAGAAGATAAAGGGACTTACCAATCTTTTAAGCAACAGGTCTCTAAAAACTGATTAGTACAGAGCAGGAATATTATGTGAATACTTGGGAAATTGAGGATAATGGTTAAGAATGCGGAATTTTGAATCAAAAAGATGTAGGTCCTACTCTCAGATCTGTATTTTATTAGTTGCCTGATGTTAGTCAATTTCTTATATTGCCTAAGCCTCAGTTTTCTCATGTCTCAGCACAGCATGGTTCAAAAATGATTAATACCTACATCACAAAGTTGTGAAAATTAAATAATCATGCAAAATGCCTGTCATGCCGTAAGCATTAATAAATAGCAGCTGTCATTGCTGTTGTCATCATTATTATTATGAAATGAGAAACAGGGCATGGAATACTCATACCCCATCAAGTAACAAATCATGTTTTCTGAAGCACTTTAATCAGGTTGAAAAGTCAAAGCCTGACATCTCAGGAGGTCTACTTTGTTCATAGGAGTAAACTCCATCCCTGGCCTCAACCCATTCTTACTTATGCAAGAATAGATAACTGTTCTCCTAAGAGTAAGCATAACCCTGAAAGTGTTATTGCATTTGGTCACTGATCTACTATGGTTTGAAAGAAATTTCAAACTTACTTTTAACATGCTGAAAACGGACTCATCTCTAGCTTTTGAAAGGCTACAAAATGAGAATCCATCATCCCTTGAATATAGTTCTGTAAAGACAAAATTTTGGAGGACAAGGAATATCCATAGTTAAACATTAATTCTAGTTTTTAAAACTCTTCATTCATGAGGGAACTATGCATGAGTTTAATACTAGAAAGCAGCCACAATGATGGTTAGAAACATATTCCTGCATCTTATCAAATAATCCCTAAATACATGTATCATACCTTTGAAGGCTTAGGCTGATTCCTACAGCAAAATCAGACAATTTTGATAGGACTTTTTAGATACTTCATTATGTTATTCAAGTTTTTAGCTACTGATTCAAAGGAGTGTTTTCTCTTTTGGTTCCTCTTTCAGGACCCCTTCTGGCCCTCTAAGCATTTTCAGTGATCCAGATACTTCTAACATTTCAATAAGATCTCCTTGGGAGCACCAGCTCTGCTGATATGTATAAGCCCCTCACTCTAGGAGCAGAGAGTGAGACCATCTGGAACAGCATAATCCGTATCAGATATCTCTTTCAAAATTCCCAAAGACTGCCTTTATTCTAAACCAGGGAGAAGTGAGAGAATTTAAATCACAGTCTGCCTGGCTTCAGTCTGCCTGGCTTCCATATGACAGGAGAAAGAAATAAATCACAAATCATTTGACTAGAAATTACCACAAAAATTATCCACCTAAAGAGATTAAGTTTGACAAAAGGGAAAAAGCATTATAAAGGAACAGAACTTAACACACCTTATTTCTGCACTTCTTCCAACCCCCAGCTACCTGGCTATTGCCCCAAATTAGGAGGCTCTGGATCGAAGGGTCAGCTGAGTATGGGGAAGGCTGGGGCTTTGAGAAAAGCCCAGCAGGAAGATCTGGGACTGGACTTTCTCACCTAGGGAGAAAGGGAGAAAGTGAAAGACAAGAGGATAGAGAAACAAGGACACTGGTATGGAAGGACCAGGAGATGAGTGTCAGGATATAAGAGAACCAAGAAAGAGTCTGGCCCTCTAATAGTCACGACCCACACGTAATAAAATGAACGTGAGTCCTACATGAGTGCTCGTGTCCTTGGCCCCCCAGAAGACACAGAAGAACTGGACAGATGAGCCATCCAGAGGCTAAGAGAAAAAGGAGTCCTGATGCCGTATCAGAGATTTGTTATCTGCCTGCCACTCCACGCCTTGCTTACCTCACCTTCTATCACACACAGCTGATGGCCAAAAAGGCATTGGGATAAGATGGCCAGGAAAAATAACAGCACTTCCAAGAAGATTTGTGACTCAGAGCACTCATATTCACTTGCCTGCATGCTCCTCTCCCTCCTGAGCACCTGGCAAGGCTATACTCCTCACCCTCCCTGCATTTAGACAGGGTCGCTATCCAGTTAACTAAGCGTTCCAGACTGAGGTGTATAAGAGCTCCTGTCACTTCACACTGTCTCTTCCCTTTCTAGGCAATCATCATGTCATGTTGCAGATGGTGCCTCTACAATATAGTAGTAGCACTTGGGCATGTGAGAGGCTTGGTGAAGTACAGCCCCTTGTCAGTCCCAGCAAGAACTAAACCTTGGCTGGACTAAGCCATGACATTTAAAGATTGATTGGACTGTATTAAGTCTAGCCTATATATCCTGTAGAAGTATATAGAGATAGAAGATAGAGAAAACAAAGACACTGGCATGGAAGAACCGGGAAATGTGTGCCAGTATATAAGAGACCCTAGGAAGAGTTTGACCCACAAATATTGGGGTCATACAGAGAGGTAGGACTAGGGCACTGCTCCTTAGAAACAAAGTGAATGTGTACCAGTGGAGCAATGGTTGAATAAACCATGGGCTTATCACAGCGTAGGATACTATACAGCCAATACAGTGGACTTGGAATGGTTTCAGTGAATATTTTCTGCATAGTAAATAAAAGATGCAGAAAAATCTGAGTATACTAGTTTGTAAATAAATGACAAAACCTACCGTGTGCATGAAGTACATGAATATGGATATATAAGGGTGGGTATGTATCTGTGTATGCCTAGACATAAGTACATATGTGTATCATTATGAGCTTGGAGAAAAATATATCAATAGAAAAATACATGTTAGTTCATTCGTATGGATTAGTGGGGATAGAATTGGGAATAGTTGGACAAAAGGGAGAAGAAAAAGAAACAAGCAAAAACTAAAACAGTTACCTTTCAAGTTCAGAATGTTTTGTTTGCTCTTGTCAGCAACAGGTCCGGGACAGAACGTGTTTTCTGAAGTACAATTTACAGTTGCAGCCACACTTATGAAAAAATATGCTTTAACAAAAACAAATTTTTTTAAGAGATGCTGTCGGCCAAGTGTAACTAGAATTGGAGGCAATCCTTTGCTCATTAATTCATCAAGTGCCTAAAAGAAATGAAAAACGCAAAGGGAAAAAAGAAAATTAGTAAAATAGTTTTTCATTTGTTATTGGCTTCAGTCCCCTTTGCAGTCCCCATTTGTTGTTGGGTGAAAGAACACAGGAAGGACATGGGTACCATAAATGGCAGGTCCGTGGAGAGAGACAAGTAATGTCCAAGCCATCCCCGCAGTCCAGCAAAGCTGCTGAGATTCCCCCACTGATTTCTGACCTGTTTCAAGAGGCCTCCCTGCTACACGTTGCAGGGTGAACCTGGACACCTTATCAAATAGAGGAAGTGCGAATGTTCGTCAGCCACGGACATGCCATCTGCTCTGAGTAAATCGCAGCTACTAGGTCGGGAATGGGAAAGGAAGAATGGATAAGCACTCCTCCTACTCACTTTAGAGTCCAAGATTAATCATTAGAACCCCTTCTTGAACACAGAGCGGCCCCCCTCCTGTGCATATGTATTTCTTTGGCAAAATCATAGCCCCAACTCTGAAGTCCAACTCTTAGGGTCTGCACCCCTGCAATTGAGGTGGGCTGGAGAAAATCACACAGCTATGTGAGTGGTCCTATTTTAAGTACCCAAGTGAACCTTACTAGTGCAATATTCCTACATTTTGCTAGTACATTCACTCTCCCTCTCTTTCCCAGACAACCATTTCATGCCCTTCCTTTCTCAAAATTCTAACCCTCCCTTCCCTATTCCACCCCACCCCTACCTAATAACCTTGCTTCTTCCACTTCACTGAGAAAACTGAAGTAGTCAGAGTGCCCTGCTCATCGAGGGCACTGAAATCTCCCCCACAGCTCTGCCTTCCTTCCTGCTACCCAAGGCTGGTGCCACCACTTAGGCCATCATTCCTGACCTTAGTGACCTACCCAGCCATTCTCTACAACTGCATAAATGTTTCCCTTTCTACAGACATATTCCTATCAGCACATAGTGTCACCTCCTCCATCTTAAAAACCCTTATCTCTCTATATCCCAACTTTCCCCTCCCCTCCAATTCTCTGCTCTCCTTTACAGCAACACTCTGGAACTGTCAATACTCTAATCCTTTCATTTGGTTTCAAACCTACTCCATCCTTACACCTAAAACCTTTTGTACCAGTGGCCTCTACCTAGCCAAATCCAGTGATCAGTTCTCAGTCCTCTGCTAACATATTACATCTAATCTAAGACATCAATATTTCATGTTGATTAAATTGTCACTTGCCACCCACTATAAAATGCATTTTTATTTTAGAGATATTAAATGTGAAAAAAATTCTATTTATGACTCAGTGAATTGTGGCACTTGATTCATCTGCAAAATTTCATGCTATGGATTACTCCTCCTAAAAATACTTCCTCTTCTTGGCTTTTAGGCCACCACATCCCCTCAGTTGCCTTCCTCTCCTGGTTCCTCTTCCTCTCCTACACCTCTTGATAGTGGAGGGTCCTGAGCCTCAGGTTTCTTCTTTCTCTTCATTCCCTCCCCTTAGGTGATCTTAATCAGGCTCAAGGTTTTAATTTTATCTAAAGGCTGAGTGATGAAATCACAAGTTTTTCTCCTTAGTTCCAACCTCTCTTCTGAACTCAAGACTCACAAGAACAACTTCTGATTCAACTCCTCTACTGGAATGTCTAACAGGCATCTCAGACTCATCATGTCCAGAGCTGCTGTGTTCCTTTTCCCCTAGCACCACCACCACACACACACAGTTTGGGAGCTTGTCTGTGTTGCTGGTTGACTATGATGTGTCTGATGGACAGCACCAGCACCATACCTGGCACACAGCAGGTGCAACAGATTAGCTAACCTTTAAAACATAAGCACATCAGACCACACTCCTCAAAAACTCCAGTGGCTCCTCATTTTGCTCAGATAAGAGCCTGGGTTGCATGGCCCTACAAGGTCCTTCTCAATTTGACCTTTTTGACCTCATTTTCCCTACAATTCACACAACTCTAGCCACACTGGCTAATATATTCCTTACCAAACTAGGCAGTCCTGTCTTGGGACCCTGGCCCTTGCTGCACCCTCTTTGTCAATGGTTCTTTCTCCAGATGTTGTGTGCCTTGCACCTTCACCTGTTTCAGGTATGTTCATAAAAGTCATCTCAGTGAAGACTAACCTGGTCATCTCATTTCATCTAGTCCTGTGACCCTAATTCCCTTTATGCACTGCTGCATTTATTTTCTCCCACAGCATGATTCTTCTTCCAATATGCTACATAATGCATGTATTTATAATGTGTTCACTTGTCTATCTTTTTTTTTCTTTGAGAAAGTCTCACTCTGTTATCCTGGGTTGCCTTGATATCACTCATAGCAACCTCAAATTCTTGAGCTCAAGTGATCCTCTTGCTTTAGCCTTCTGAGTAGCTGAGACTACAGGCACCCGCTATCATACCCAGGTATTTTTTTAAAGATGGGTTCTTGCTCTTGCTCAGACTGGTCTTGAACTCCTGAGCTCCAGCAATCCACCTGCCTCGGCCTCCCAGAGTGCTGGGATTACAGGTGTGAACCACTGCACCAGGCCTGTATATCACATTTTGCCATGAAAATTTAAGCTCCACAAGAACTTAGCATTTGTCTGTATTGTTGATTGACTGATATATTTGATTGACAGTATCAGAACAGCACCTTGACCACAAGAGGCTCTTATCTAAAATTTGTTGAATTAACAGAAAAGGCAGAATGTTGGGGCTATCTATTCTAGAAAAGAAGGAAACTATTTGTCTTGTGTAAACAAACACAAAGAAATACCAATGTGGGGAAGACTCTGAAGCAATGGTGGCAGTGGGGAGGCTGTTGCCGTTGCTCCTTCCTTTTTGCTCACCTCCTCTCAGAGGTGGGAATCAGGGTAGGCAGAAGAGCTGGACACAAAGCAGCCCCTGAGATGGTGCTGCAACCAAACTACTGCTGTAGGAAAATGGCCGACCCTCCCCATCTAGAGAAAAAACTTCAGATTGGTTGAGAGGTGGAAGGAGAGAAGGTTTTTCTTTTCTTCTCTCCACAGCAGTGATTTAATGAGCCTTGACAATTACATACAAACACTTGAGGATCAAAAGAAGATTAATTAGTAATGCTATTTAACACTTCTTTCTCTCCCTTTATGCAAAAAGATATATATAAAGTGTAATCTGAAGTGTCTTAAGCAGACCAACAGTACTGTTTTAATTAATTGGCTAATAGAAATCAGCTTTCCATGATTCTGTTAGTCTCTTTGCATAAAAAGAAATGATCAGACAGACATTCTTTTTACACTGAAAACAACTCTTTAAGAAAGTGCTTTTAGGATGCCCTGGCATTTATGACTAGAAAGAAATGAATATTCTAGAACACCCCAAGGTCTTGTAACACTAAAATGAAATATGAATATGTATCGGTTATCTCCCTCATTCCAGTTCTTTCATTTCAGGCAATCTGCTTATAAATTAAAATAAATTTTTAGGAAAAACCAATGAATCATCTGAAGAATAATTAAAAGTAAACTTTGTGGAACAAAATGCACAATAATAGAAAAGTAATAAGATTACATTTAATAAAAGGTGGCCGTGTGCTCATCAAAATTATGGAAGACAAAAATAAAGTAATTTTGAGGAAATTTCTCTCAAAATTCTTTCATTAAAAAATGTACTTAATAAAACAGAAGGCTATTTTCTAGCATTTCAAAAAACATAAAAACTATGTTGTATTCATTGTCATCTCACTCTACAAACTCCTTCCCACGTAGAACTGCCTTTAGTGACAGACTGCCGCTACTCCTAAGATGGTTTCAAATGATTATTTAAAGATTTAAAGATACTTAAATGCTACCAGGGCATCAGATGCTTTCACCCCAATCATTCAGTGACTGGAACAAATACATTTAGATGGGCAGTCTAATCCTCTTTTTGTGAAAACTATTGAGGAAGTTGAGGAGTTGCTTCTGAAAATGCCAAATGAAAACATTGCAAACCACTGACTGACAGTCAGAGAACTGGAAAGAAATATTATAATTAAAAGCAATATTGAGAATGTGGGCTATTGTAAAATGTACAATGTCCTTCTCTTACAATCAAAGTCAGCCATGACCTTCTAGGTAATTAAGATAAATATTAAGATTAGAGATACTTGACATGGTTAGTTGAGGCCTTCTGAATCCTTCAGTGTGGTCTTTTGACTGAATTCAAATAAATCCCCTTATTAAAAGCGATTTGTTCTGTGAAGTTTGGATTCAGGTAAGGGTCCACACTTGGGGGTCTGGGGGGCAGGGTCCCCACCCTGATGTGGACTATTGCCAAATGTACAAAATCCTTTTCTTACAATTAAAATCAGCCATTGCCTCCCAGGTAATCAAGATAAATATTAAGATTAGGGATACTTGATATGGCTAGATGAACAAACTGAATACACATCTGTAATTAAGAAATAGAAGCAATAACTGCTGTTTACCCTACTAGAAAACCAGAACAATTGGATCCAATCCTACCTCTTTTCTAAGAAGTTTGAGACAAAACCCTATTATTAGAAATAGAAAAGCATGGTACATAGCAGATTTTCAAAACCAAAGATCACACATACCAAATAGATTGAAATAACTCAAAAACTATGCACACTAAATACCCAACATTTATGAAATATTGTTCCTCCTCACCTGTATATTTTCTCTACTGCAAAGAAGTTTTCTCGTGTCAAATGACTGAATTGTCTGTTAAAATATAAAAAAGAGTTGGAACAAGATGATTTGAATATTCTTTTAAATAAAACTGTTAACATATTTTTCTAAAATTATTGATAGCTACCATTTTTATTGTAAAAGTAACATTCTAGTGAGAAAAGATTAGTATAGTATAAAGAAGAAAGTAAAAATCATGCATAAGTCAACTTCCTCTAGGTGATTGATGCTAATATTTAGATATGTTCCCTACCAATTTCACTTTGATGTATTTTTAAAAATTATGTATAGATTTGTATTTCATTTTCACTAAATACTACACATACTTTTCTCTCTGTGCCAATATAAATAATATATATTTACCTATTAGACTATATATATATATTTTTTTTAAGGTAGGTCATATTCTACCCTACAAATGCAGCATAACTTCTTTCCTATGATTTTTAGGCATCTAAGGGGGACACTTCCCACTGCCACTTCACCATTCAACACCAGTTTAAACAACATCAATGACTATTTTTGTCTGCATTTCTGATTATTGTCTTTGGATAGATTTCTAGAAGCAGAATTTCTGGGTCAGAAGATATTGAGAAAATTGGAAGGGGCTGGCTCATTTTTACACTCCCACCCAGAGGGTATAAAAATGCCAATATTATTGAACTTTTAACAACATTGAATATTATCACTTTAAAAAATCTTCGCCAGTTTGAGGTTAACTGTATTTCTATTCATAATGACTACTTTTGTGGTTCTCTTCCTGTTAATATGTTTGGTTCTAAATATAATGCTGCCTTAGCAAACATTTAGTTTGTCATAGGAGGCTGTGTTATCATCAAGTAGGATGTACGCCTCTTGGTATAGAAGGCCTTTGTTAAAAGATGCCTTTTCACAGAAGCCAATACTGGCTCCTCCCACATCCCTGTGGTCACTAGGAAGTCACCAAGCTTCTTTGGACAGGTTCCTCCCACCTGAATGATAGCCTACCACAAGCACCTGTACCTCTTTCCCTAAGGTTATTCTGGGGCCATAGGAATGTTCAGGACAGATTTACAAGTGCAGGGAACAAAACCTTACCAGTGAAGAACAAGAGAAATGTTCTATCCAGCCTCTGAGGGCCACAGTGGGCCACAGTTGCCCACAGCGGGCCACAGTTGCCCACAGCAGTAACCTTTTCTTTAATGCTTTCTGGATTGATTTTCCTCACTTCCTTCTCTAAATTTTCTACTTGCTCACTATAATTCCTGGAATCACTTCCCAACCATGCTATTGTTTTCAAATTCTGTCTCAGGATCTGCTTTTGAGGGAACTCAACCCAATATGTCATGTATAGATTTTATTGGAAAGCAGATCTAGTCTCAGGATCTGCTTTTGAGGGAACTCAAACCAATATGTCATGTATAGATTTTATTTTATTGGTAAATGCTTAAACTTTTTTTCTTCTTTGAAGACATTTTTATTGCCCATAATACAAAGAAAAGTAAATCTCGGAGATCTTTGATGGTATAAATTGAAGAGAGTTGATGATGAGATCTTAGATTAGGTACAAGAGCAGAATCCTAATATGAATAAAATGTTAAAATATAGCATTTTTAAATACTTGGTACAAGAACAGAATCCTAAGATGAGTAAAATGTTAAAATACAGCATTTTTTAAAAGGAATATGAAAAGCCCAATAGCATTCTGAAGACTTTTTCAGTTCTTTTGAAAGTGAAATTTAATTCATCAATCCCTTTTTTAAATAACTAGCCTGCAGCCTAATAACATTGGCACCTATTTTAATTATAAACCCTGAACGCATTTCCTCTTTTAATTACAGTTTTTAAATTCCCTATTGAAGCTGGAACGCTGCAAATGAACTTCCAGAATATAAAATCTGAAATCAGAATCCACTGGGATATAATTTACCCACTAATTTATCCCACGAAAGCTAGTTGATAAAAATGAAGTTTGGAATTTACATGTGAAAAATAGTCTTAGACTTTTTGTTTGTTTTTGTGAAAATGTTGGCCATTGAAACAAACTCTGCCTTGTTTCTCACTCTACTCAACTGGTTTCTCTTTCCTTCTTATCTCTCCTGGACTCTCTCACTGGACTATAAGCTCCAGGAAAGCAATAATTCCACTGATGTGTTAACTCCGTGTTTTATCCCCATGACTATACACATACCACAGATACAAACATAGATGGAGTGTGCACACATGCAAATAAACATAGATCCTATTGCATAATAAATGTTCCTCTTAGGATGTTCTGTGGAAGGCCTCACTTACCCTATTGCAATAAATAATAAAGCTGTAACAGTCATATGACGTAATAAGCATGTATATTTTGGGGAAGTATGCCGAAGTAATGGACATATTATATGTGAATATAATGGCCACTTAGGCAAGTGATTTTCAAGACTTATAGCCCATTCCCCAGGTTCAACTAAGTCCTCCAAATCTGAACCCAGTCAGCACTGTGTTGCTAAAGTCCTCCAAATTTGAACCCAGGGAGCACTGTGTTGCATCTGTCCGACTCATTCCTCTCACACCATCTGCCCCAGGCAAAGTGAGTCCCTGTCTCCTTCTAATTCCTTTACTGCTGGCCTGTAAGGGTCCAAGCATCTGCCTGAAGCAAGATCACCCAATGATCCCTAGATCACCGTGAAAACCAAAGCAGAGGAAAATGACAGTTCACTCTGATTTAATTTGTGCTTTAAAGTCAACTCTGGTATTCATTTTCAAGGATGCTTCAATTATCCAATTTACAAAATACAAATTAAGCAAGCCAGATAAAACTATCCCCATTAAAATCAAAAACAATGAGACAAAATAGAGGAATATTTTCACAGAAATCAGAAGAAATTTGAACAGCATATTCTTAATTCTTTGGTATGAAGTATAAAAATCAAAAAGATCCAACTAAGATACGAGGAAAGACTATTTGATGAAGAACATTAACCAGAAATGATAAGATTAGACCCCACAATCTGCGAGGTAGAGGCTGATAAATGTGTCTAATGAGACTGCCATGGTAACTACAGCAGCATTCATGAGCCAGAATTCAACTGCAAAAATCTATTCCCAAGCCACGTCTGCTCTCATCCCCAAGACTCTTCCATTCCAGATAAATGATGCCTCATGAAAACCTGATGCTAGTTGTAACCAGGCTTACCAAAGAAGTCTGGAGTATTGAAGACTTATAAATATTCTTCTGTGGGAGTACATCCCTACATTTTAGGAACAAACCTTTGAAGATAAAGAAATGTCTTTGAATTAAATTGCAGGTTACCTTCATTTTTCCAATAGGTTTACAGCCAGCGGGTATTGAGCAAGGCATGTTTCTTCCATAAATAATATGGATTATCTCATTAAAAGCATCAGAAAAAAATCCCAAATCTATAAGGACTTCTATCTGTAAAAAAAAGGAAAGATAAGATTTCTTACTAAATAGTTTGTTTGACTTATAACAAAAGGTTAGAGAAAAATCATCAAATTCCTGAGATCTGGAATTTCTGCTAAATGTTGGTAATGCGCTAGGAACTAATGTTTACTAGACGCGAGTGGAGGAAGGTGCGAGTGTCTGTGAACACGCTCATTTACATGGGCAATGGGCCGTGGAGCTGACAACAGCAGCAGGCGGCTGCTCATAACAACGGGCATTTATCAGATGTCGCTCACTTCATCAGAGGCGAACATATAAAAATAAGATAGCTGTAGAAAGTTTTAAAAAATCATTATTTTGTTCACATTGTGAACTATGGCTTATAAGGAAAATAAAACACTCCTGGAGTTTTCTAATACTCTGAGGAAAATCAAACCAGGAGACTACTTCACAACGTACCCACACAGAGACAACAATCAGATGTCTTATCCATTACTAGTGGACACCGTCAATTTTAAAGACATACATTTAAGAATATTAATCAATTAATCACTATGTATCTCATGTGCTTTATTTAGAATGGAATCCAGAAGGAGCATCAATTAGGAAATTGAAGCAAGAAAAGAAAATTCTTGTTTCCATTCATTCATTCTACATACTTACTGAGCATGTCCCATGCACCAAGCCTTCTTGGGGGTTACATTCCATTGGGATGTATATTTAGTGATATGTGAAGATAGAAGTAACATGAAAAGGCTTAGCACTGGTTCTCAACCTTCCTAATGCCGCAACCCTTTAATACATCCCTCATGTTGCATGAGGAGAATACTAACAGAAGCTGTTTTCAAGATTGTGCTCAGGAAAGAATTCTCAGTGGAGAAGACCTTACAGAGGTGATTTGGGAATGACATTAAGGGACAAGTAAAAATCTGCTGAAGAAACCTCAGTAACAAAGTTCGTGTGTGGGCCAGGAACTCAGAGGGGAAGGGAGGAGAGTGCAGAGGTGGGTGGGAAGGGTAGCCAGGGAGGGTGTCAAGTGGAGTTTACAAACCAGAGTAAGGACTTTGCATTTTATTCTCTGAGTGACATGAGGTTCTTAGAGAGCTTTAACCTAACTTATGCTTTGGAAGCATCTAGTGATTTTGTAAAGAACAGAGGAGAGAAAATGTGGAATCAAGGAATAAAATACAAAATTGGATTAAAATAAAGATATGTAAAACATAAAAAAAGAAAAATCAACTTATCCTCTGTATATCTACCATTTTACTTTCTGTTTTCCTTTCATTATTATCTTAGGAATCTCAAGATTGTGTAAATTTGAAAGAAATAAATAGTAAGTAAGAAAAATTGGATATGCAAATTACATGAAAATAAGGAACAAATGAGAAAATTTTTAATAGAGAAAATTATATATATAATATATGTATGTATGTATGTATTATACACATATACTTGTATGTTGAGCTGCATACTTTGGTTCTTGGCTAAGGCACCTTGGGCCCCAAACTCCCTAGTGCCATATAACATCAAAGTAAGCACGTAAAGAGACATATGAACTCTCTTGGAAATCTAGATTTTCCATTTTTCTCATTACACCTAAGAGGAAACACTTCCCCATACCTGAGTATGGTTAGTCTCTTTGGGTCTTGCCTATAAAATTGCTATACACAGACTATCTGTGGCCTTGTTGCATCATACCAATCTGACTGTTCGAGAAAACAATAATTTTAAATAAAGGCATATATTTTCAAAAGTAGCCAACACTGTGAACACAATCAAGCCAGATGGTAAGAAGAACTGCCCATAAATCAACTCTTTACTCACACAGACACAAAACCATCTGCACCCTTCTTAGGGACATTCAACGTCTTGAGAAAAATAAATCTTCCGAGAAGCTGGCAGTTCTAAAGTTGAGTCAAGGTCAGGTGCAGTGGCTCACACCTATAATCTTAGCACTCTGGGAAGCTAAGGAAGGTGGATTGCCTGAGTTCAGGAGTTTGAGACCAGCCTGAGTAAGAGTAAAACCCTGTCTCTATCAAAAATAGAAAAACCGAGGCAAGAGAATCTCTCAAGCCCAAGAGTTGGAGGGTGCTGTGAGCTATGACGCCACAGCACTCTATCCAGGACAACAGCTTGAGACTCTGTCTCAAAAAAAATAAAGAAAGAAAATAAAGTTGAGCCAGGCATGCTGATCACAAGGAGGTCGTAAAGCTCTCCCAGAAAGACACAGGGACCCTATGGAAACTTAACGGCGTGATCTCTTGTTATCTGATTTGTCAAAAAGCATCACTGTCTGTTGTTTCCTGACTGACACTTCTGTCTTCCCACTTAGTGACCCCTGTTTATTTCAGAAGAGTCAGCAAACTCAGTTCACACTGCTGCTATTTCTTCCTTTGTACAATCCATCAGTTGCCCTTTTCACCACTTCTGTCAGAACTCTGGTCTGGGTTTTCAATCCTGCTATGCCAGTAAGATCCCAGTTCTCTTATTCTGCCCCAACACTGTTAGTGTCTAGAAGATCTAATCATTCTATTCTCCTAATCAAAATTCTATAACTAGGCTGGGCATGGTGGCTCATGCCTATGACCTAGCTCTCTGGAAAGCTGAGGTGGGAAAATCGCTGAAGGTCTGGAGTTCAAGACCAGCCTGAGCAAGAGTGAGACCCCTATCTCTGCTAAAATTAGAAAAAATTAGCCAGGTCTGATGGTGAATGTCTGTATCCTAGCTACTCTGGAGGCTGAGGCAGGAGGATCCCTTGAGCCTAGGAATTTGAGGTTGCAGAGAGCTACAGTGATGGCGCTGTACTCTAGCCCTGGCCACAGAGCAAAACTCTGTTTCCTCACCCCCCAAAATAATTATGTAACTAATCCACCCACCAACTTAAGGCTCATGAAAGAGTCCTTAGTTATTCTCTGGCTTTTGTAGCACTTTAGGACAAAAACAGTTACCATGTGCTTACAATACAATAGAAAATAAGTTAACTAACCAAAAATGTTGTTCTGGATTATGTCTTTAAGTGCCCCTCTAAATCTCCTGACAAGTTATTAATGTTCTAGGCTTCTATTAGCACTCTTAATAATAGCCCAGGATGCATCTGTTTCCCAATTCTGACTCCATAATCTCCTCATTTCACTTCTCCCATGGCTCAACCTCCCCATTACATCTCTTCACAGTTTGGAATTGAAGAGTCCTTGGTCCAATACAGGGTCCTTGGTATTCCCCAAGTCATGGCCCTTTGGCATTCTCCTGTTATCTTCTGCAGCCTCCCACTCAAAACCTCGACTCCAGCATCACTGAACCACCTGCTGCCTGAACAAATCACTACTTTCTCGCTTTTGTACCTTTCAAACTTCTATTTCCCAAGAATGTCTCCTTCCTATTTCTCCCCCTGTCCTGGGGAATAGTAACTCTTTCAAGTCTAAATCTTACCAATTTGGTGAAACCTAAAGATTGAAAGCCATTTTTCCTTCTTAAAATGCCTAGAGACTTAGTGGTCATTACGCTCATATGGAAATATTAATAATTAAACAGCAGGTGCATATTGTCTTAGGTGTATGTTCTGTCTCTCTTGCCCCAGTTTTCATTTTTATTATAAGCAAGTTTCATTTCTTTGATTCAAGTTACTACCATGGTGTTTTTAAATAGGAGGTACTCAATAAATGCTGTTTTAGAGTGAAATCAATAAATATCTACTAAGCATTTTTGTGGTGAGCTTCCACTAAACACTAATGAGAGCATGGACAGTAGCTCTTGGTAAATGTCTGAAGATTTTAAATTTAATTCAATAATTAATTGCTGAATATCAAGTATGTGAATTTATTCTTCAGACACTATAGGGAATTAAAAGATGAATAAGATACAGGTCCTGGCCTCAAGAATTTTGAAATATTGAAGAGAGTACTAGAGGGAGAGAGGGAGGGAGAGAATATTACATGCAGTTTTTTAGAAAGTGTTATTGGAATTCAGAAGGAAACGAATGCATAAGAGAGTTCAGTAACTCAGAGAGGGTGATCCACAAATTTTCAGGGTCAGTAACAAACTATTTATTCCCAGGTTAAAATATATTAATAGCCAGCACCAAAACTCCTCTTAGGATTTTCTTCATTTAGAAATAGAATGTAATGGACTATTTGGGTCTAAAAACATGGGCCCAAGGGTAGGGTCTGGATGGGAAGAACAATTCAAAGGGAAGTCTAATTTTCTCTTATTGGAAAATGGGAGGAATTTGGGGAAGAAAGGCAAAAAGTATTTCTAAAACAGGGGAAGAGAGGATTAAGGTAGTGGTGGGCTACAATCTACTCACTCCCAATTGCAGGAGGTGACTGTATTCATCTTGTCCCAGGTCCATCTTTAGTGACATCTAATTGGTAGCCTGAAGTCAACCATAATGGTAATATTTTCACCATGGATAGAAATTGCAAATGCCACAAATCTGGATTGGAGTGAGGGGTGCTGGGAACCAACTGTAAAGCATTTACCAGCACATAGCTGACTGTGCCATTGGATGAGAGGCCAAGAAATATTTTAAGCTCCAGATGCCAATATTCTCAACTGTTTGCTTTGCCTCAACTTAAACTTTCCTGTCTTCCCAGTTTCCAGTGAGGTCCACTACAGAAAGAAAGGCCTTGGGTAAACACATGTGGTATGCATTTGCGTGTCAGTAAATGCATGTGTGTGTGTTTGTAGAACATAGAACAGGGCTGAATTTGATAGTGGGGTTGAGGAGGTATAGAACAGGGGACACATCTTCTAGATCTTGAGATGATCCATGTACAAGAAAATTCAACAAAAGTGAGAACCATGCAACATGGGTGACCAGGAAAGTGAGCAGAGTGAATGAGGGGCTTGAGGTCACCACTCTACATGGTGTGCCAGCCAACTGCACGTGAATAATAGACAAAATCTCCACTGACTTCTGAATTACAGGACTTATTGTAACTTAGTGTCTATCTGGTCTTGTTAATTCAACTGCCTGTGCATTAAAAATTACTTGTATACCATCATGTCCATAAAGGTCCTTAGATATAAATTCACAGAACTTTAGAAAACTGGCTCACTTGGCCTCCACCAGGAAACCAGTCTCTCGGAAGTGGTGGTTTCCAGGCTGACTGGTGCTGGGTAAGCCTTGTTTCCAGGTATAGCTGTTCCTCACTTTACTGTGGCCCAAGCATAGTAACTGGCTCTTTCTGTTTATAATAACGATGAGTAAGTTATTTTTATAGCAGTGTACCACCACATTAGTATCAGCTTATTATTATGAGTATTAGACTCAAATTACTGTGTGACAATATCCTTAATAGTTCAAGACTATCAACTGTCGTAAAAGCTTGCACATACCTTGAGGATTCTCGCTTCTAGATTTCTGACTAGGTCTTGGCAAATTCCAGAAACAAAATATTGGTATAAGGCAAGGAGAGGCAGCACCTATCAGGAGAAAAATACTATTCATTTTAAAATATATTTTACCAAGTTAATAACCTAATAATGAATTTTATCAAGTTAATAACCTAATAATCAAATTTAGTCAAATATTAAATGTAGAAAATGTTATATAAAATACTAATTGATTTTTCAGACTAGGAGACTATACTGTTTGATATAAGTGAAATGATCTGCCTGGTATCTGCTTAATAATTTTATCAGAACTTTCGAATGCTACCAGAGACTTACAGTTCCAAGTAGATGCCATTCGGCACCCCAAACCTAGGTTTCACATCCCCTTAAGCATGAAAAGTTAAAATCCAATCAATTATCTTCCTGGAAAAAAAATCAACTCAACATAAATGTATAAATCACTGTAGCCTATGGAAAAATTTTAGCAAATGAACTATCAAATAAATGCAAACTTTAAAGAAGGGGTGCCCAACCTGTACCCACAGGCTGCATACTGATTTTGTAAGGACTTTTTTTGCTTATCCATGGTGTCTAATATCACAAAAAGTACCTGGACCTGTTTAGCTCATCAGTTTTCCTTAGTATTTGTATATTTATTTATTTATTTAGAGACAGAGTCTCACTATGTCACCCTGAGTAGAGTGCTGTAGCATCACAGCTCACAGCAACCTCCAACTTGTGGGCTTAAGCAATTCTCTTATTTCAGCCTCCCAAGTAGCTGGGACGACAGGTGCCCGCCACACCCGGCTATTTTTTGGTTGTAGTTCTCATCATTGTTTAGCATCTCATTGTTGTTTGGATAGGGTTTGAACCCATCACCCATGGTGTATGTGCCTGGTGCTATAACCACTGTGCTATGGGCGCCGAGCCAGTGTTTGTGTATTTAATGTGTGGCCCAATACAGCTTTTGTTTCTCCAATATGCAGCAGAGGGAATAAAAACGTTGGACACCCCTGACTCAAAGCAAAGGAACTCAACCCATGTCCCCTAACTAGCTCCTCCTTATTCATTTGAATGTCAGCGGCCATTTGTCTTCATTTAGGATTTTATTGTCAGCATAAAAATACCTATGAAAAGCTATTGTGTGTTAGGTTCTGTTAAATGAGAACAGAACCTAATTAAGTCCTTGCCTTCGCCTTAGCACATATTCTACTGATTAAAACACGAGCTTAGTCTCCATGTAATATTTTTACTTTTCTAGAATTAACTCCAAAGCTCAATTACTCTTGAGGTCTCCTGAATATATATGAAGGCTTATAGACATCAATATTTCAACTAACCTAGCCACTATCCATCCAGAGAAAGGTGCTGAGGGGACAGTTTTGTCCAGACATTGGAACAGCTCCTGACCTCAACTCAAATCTGAAGCTTAGTTCTGGCAGCTGTATCCTACCCTGCCAGAGGGAGAGGGAGTGTTGGGATCCCCATTCAGCAATCTATTTCCCATGGTTCCATCGCTCTAGGTCCCATAGCAAATTTTATATTCCACACAAGTCTCCTTAGCCACTGGGATTCTTCTGGAGAAGGTTAATGTAATACAGAATGGAAACTGTTTACTTCTTCCAAGTTCAGCTGGGGAACCCCTAGTTGTCAGTCAACTGGCAGCTACTAATATCAACTGCTTTCTAAAAGGATTAAAACTAGTTTTAAGTGATTTCAAACATAATATAGTACATTTTCTACAATTACGCCCTGCAAACATGACACAGTACTTTTTTCTACAATTAATGCAGCACAAAACATTAAGAGTTGGTGATTACCTTTGAGATCGTTTTCTTTTCTTTAGTAAGAAATAGAAACACGCCGTTTTATTGCTGCCAATTACTCAATTATTCAGAAAAACATCAATTTCTTAAGCTTTAGAGAAGAAAAGTTTTCATTTCTTTTCCAACGCAGTGATATGTATTATATATGAATCTGACTAGGCAGCTAAAGATTACCCAGAGGATAGAACCATTTTCTCAATCCAGAATGAATCTCTTTAACAGTTATTTTTATTAATAAACAATTTCTTGCCAAATCTGCCAAGTATTAAAAGCATTTCTCAACTTCTTCACTTTAATACATGGTTTTATAGTTTAACAGTTAATATCGGGGGGCAACAATTATTTTCAATAAAAAGAGAGTTGAATTTAGAAGAACAAATATGCCAAGAGAATTTTAAAAATATGGGAAATAAAAGAAAGGTATGAAAATTATGAGGGAAGGAAAAATAAGCAGAAATGGAGAAAGAATAGATATTAAGAAGCAAACAGCAGAAAAAGATATTAAATTAAAAAAGGGAGGGGGGAAGAGCAGAAAGGAAGAAAATAAACAAAATAAGATAAAGGAGGAAGATAAAAAATGACCAACAGTTACAAGATACTGATTTGTTTTTAAAATGCAACAAACTTCAAATCTGTGACATACTGTGATTAAGGCAAGAAAAGTTGTGTTTTGACTCATGGATATCACTGGACAATAAGAGATGTCTGCCTTTTTACCTAATACAACCTGTTATTGTCTGAGATGCACCCTTGTCAGAGAAAAAACAAGTGACACAAAGATAAACTTATCTCAATAAAGAAATACTCTCACGGTTTGGTACTGACACAAAACTGAACAACTTAATGCAGTGAGTTACAAGTAGACTAGATTCCCATGTTTAAGACCAGTGTGACACATCTGATCAATTTCACCAACTGTCTTAAATATATATTCATGTTTGTGTATATAGTATATATATGTGTGTGTGAAACAGGAAAAAAAGAACAAATTGAACAGACATTGCTTTGTATCAAAAGTGTAAACAAATATAATCAATAAATTTTATTTTGAATTCTAGATAAGAACCTTAAATATATAGAGTTTAAAACTTAAAAAGAACTGACCAAAAGAACATTAGCAATATTTGAGAAGCATGAAGTGGGGCAAAATATCACAGTGATTAAGACTTGTTGATTTTACAAATTACTTACCATTAGATTTTGTTTAACATAATGCAGTTCACGTATAATGTAATACAGACTGGCAACCACGGAGCAAATGTCAGCCCTGAATCTATCTGAAAAGAGGTGTATGCCTGGGAGAAGCTGGGTGATTTCATATTGAGCATAGCAATGTTCAGCTTTGGGGTGGGGAAGCGTAGTTCTAAGCAAACCCTGAAAAGGAAAACAAGTTGAAATAAAGAGGTATGTGTTTCATTTTCAATGATGAAATGTATATTACTTTCCAAAGTGCTCAGTGCATGCCTAGCACACTATGCTCTGAAATAAACGGTACTTATCATTTATATTATCATCATTATAGGTTCCAAGTGCTTTTATCACTCAAGAGGGGCTTTTTAAATTCCACAGTAGTTGGATACTTACTATTTTCAAAGAAATTGTCATTACATTAAATTATCATTTGTTGAGGGCCATTTTTATGTTGAGCACTGCTAGTAAATTCTTCATAAACATTATCTCATTTAATGTTCATTTAACTCGTCCTTACGAGAAAGGATTACTATCTCACATTGGATATAATTGAGGCTTAAACAATTAACTTACCTGAGGTCACACAGCTAATGATGACAAAAGAAGATTCAAAGTTGTATCTACTTAACTCAAAAATCTATGTTCTTTCCACTATACCCAGTTATAAGTAGAGGAAATGACAACTTATTTTAGAAGTCTAAATCTGACAGAGGTTAAGTCCAAACTTATAACATCTACTTAACTCAAAAAATCTATGCTCTTTCCACTATACCCAGCTTTAAATAAGGAAATAACAGCTTATTTTAGAAGTCTAAATCTGACAGAGGTTAAGTCCAAACCTGTAACTGCATTAACTGAAAACATGATTCATGTAAGTTGATCAATAATTCTTGGGTAATTTATATGATTAACATTATACTAGATAGATATTGTGGAGACAAGATGAATAGACAAAACTAAATTTTATGATACATTCAGGAGTACTTCCTTTGTTATCTTAGTAATTAATATTTCCTATTGACAAATGCAGTATAAACTTATTTTAATATATATATCAGGAGCTTCAGTCATATTGCTTATTATAATTATGAAGCATCCTACTTTAAAATATTATTCAGTTGTTGAAATTTTCAATTTCACAAATTTGATTTAAAATCATAAAAATAATTTACAGGCTTTTTAAATATATCCCACCAGCTAATTTTTTTTTCAGGTGTGGTATCACTTAAGAAATTGTGTGCACACTGTGCAAAAAGTTAAATACAATTTTTAAATCATATTTTTAATAAAATATAAATAGCATTATCTTTAAGAACAAGGAGAATCAGAAAGTGAAATGCAATGCAGAGTCAGATTGCCGCTTCCAGTTCTTCCTTTGAAGCATAAGCAAGAGGCGTAGGAACATAAAGAAATTGAAAAGTCTGGCCTTACATAAAGAGAATCCCTTCCCCAGGAACTCAACTATTTAGATTTCATAAGCTATCAGACTCCTCTGATGCACAGAATAAGGGTGTCTATCCTTCAAAGTGAGGAGAACCTTGAGTAGACTGCAAAGGCCCCTGGCTACCTCTCCGCATCTCAAAATGTCTTGTATCTCAGATAAAAGCTCCTTTCTTCTTGAGTGAAGTCAAACCAAAACCATGAGAACTGTAAATACACCTCTTCTGTAGTCTTCAACTTACTTTTCACCTTCATTATAAGATATATTTTATATGCTGTAACCAAGCAAAACTTAATTTAGAGCTGAGGTAACCTGAGGCAACTGTTCAGAGTCCGACAGACTGGCTTCACATTCCTTACCAGCATCGTGATCTTACGAGGGAACGCAGACTCAGTTTCTCTACCTGTGAAACTCCCTCTGCTGTAGTCTACAGGAGGAAACTAACTCTGCTGAATATTACAGGTAAAAGGGGTCAGCCAGCCAAAGACAGACAGGCTTGTGATACTTAGTCAAGGCTCATGCTGTTTTCCTCCTACCTGTGAGTTTTATGAATATGACAAACTACTGTACTTTTTTTCACTGACTGAATGTATGCTTTAGAAAAACATAGTTACCTGAAAGAGTAAGGCAGACAAAATGCAACAGTTGATTCTTTTGCTAACATTCAATGTCTGAATAAATCTAAATAAGCATAAGAAAAATAAAGTAATTAGCAGACAATTTTCCAAAAATATTCTGATATCAATGTGTCCATAGACACATATCTAGAATTTTTAAAATACAAGAAAAATGTAAGAAAATATAAAGAAGAAACTTTAAAAATCTACCCATAATCCTTCAAACTAAACACAATTACTAGCAACAATTCCTTCTATGTAGTTTTATACACATAGGAACACATACAAATGCATATATTAACACTAGAATTATGCAGTATATACTATTTTATAAACAAATTTGCCACTCACAGACATAATGAACTATATCATAATTTTTAAGAACTTTAATATTTTATCATATGAATGTATCATAATATAAAAATAACAATCTACATTTCAGTTTTTTCCAATGCAGAGGTAAACAATTATACCTGCATTTTTCAGCACTTATCCCATAAGTTCCACTGGAGGGAGGTATAAAATTAAAGGTTTTGATGAGTATGGTTCAACAATTCCACCAAAAAATTGAAGTAATGAATTTCCTTTCTATCTGTGTATTATGGAGCCATTCACATTAAGTATCTCCAGAAAAGGTCAATGTCTCTTCATTTACTACTGTCTTATTTTATGTCCCTTAGAAGAGTTTGAGCTTTTTTTAATGTGGGTCTTAAAATTCACATTTGCATCTATGAGCTGCATTACTCCCTAAGCCTTACTTAAATAAAGCCAGTCAGCTTCACTCTATTAATGACAATGCCTATCTGAGTTCAGCTTCTCTGTGTGGGTGTGGAAGTGTGGTATTATTCAGTGGGGAGAAGGTTCCTCTGCTCATGGAGTTCAGGAAAACAGCTAAAGCCCTTGTAGAATCACATCTCCTGTGGAAGTCAGAATTGCAGCTGGGCAACCAGGAAATGCCTTTCTGCTCATTGAAAACCACTAGGTAATAATTCCAGAGGCTCAGAGAAACAAGAGCTCAGGAGTGTGGTGGCCGTTCCTTTCCAAGCTAGGAGCCTTCCTTGGCTTTTATACTCCCCACTGCCAAGCTCTGCCAAGTCATTAGCTCAGACTTCTTTGCAGAGTGTATGTGTCTAAGGATGAGCTCTATCCCAAGAATGCAAAAGATCAAACTTGATAGAGGTTTAAATCTTTGATGTTTAATCTTTTCAAAGTGGTACTTTCTTACGTCCCCTGCCCAAAGATGGTAATTTTCTGAAAACAATGTGATTACTAGCCAGGAAGACTTAATTTTTTTAAATTTAATCTCTAGCTCTAAACACTAGGCTGGCCCCTCCCTACACACACACCCTACAGGTAAGCTAAAGAAATAACGGAGAGGTGAAGGAAACTTATACTTCCACTCCCACCATACTTTATAATTTTTTATGGTAATTAAATTTTTGAGTGCTGGCTACTTATGAACCGTTGTTACAGACATTCACATATGTTATGTGAGGTAGACTGAACAATGCCCCCCCCAAATATTTATTTCCTAATCCCCAGAACCTATGAATATGTGACTCTGCAAGGCAAAAAAAGACTCTGCAGGTATGACTAAATTAAGGATCTTGCAATGGGGAAGATTATATGTCATTATATGACAATGGTCCTTATAAGAGAAAGGCAGGAGGGTCAGAATCAGAGAAAGAGATGTAAGGATGGAAGCAGAAGGGAGAGGCAGAGGGCAGGAAGGGGGGTAGGGGAGGGAAAGAGAAAAAGAGAGGGGGAAAAAAAGAAAGAGAGGAAGGTACTGTTAGTCTTGAAGACAGAAGACAGGGCCATGAGCTGAGACATGAGGGAGGCCCCTCAAAGATAGAGAAGACAAGGAATGGATTCTTCCCTGGAGCATCCCAAGGAGCACAACCCCACTGACACATTGATTTTAGAACTTCTGAGACAATAAATTTGTGTTATGTAAGCCATTGAGTTTGTGGCAATTTTTTGCAGTAAGCAATAGGACATGAATACAGTGTGTAACAGGCCAAATTGTATCCCCTAAAAATTTGTGTGTTAAAGTCTTAACCTCCACTAAACTCAATGTGACTATACTTGGAGACAGTCTTGAAAGAGGAAATTAAGTTCAAATGATGTCATGGGGTGGGCCCTTATCCATGTTCTTACAAGAAGAGGAGATTATGACATTGACATGTACAAGGGAAGGCTGTGTGAGAAGACAGCCATCTTCAAGAGAAGCCTCAGAGGAAAACCAGTCAAGCCCGAGATCTCAGACTTCCAGCCTCCAGAATTACAAGATCAGTTTTCTGTGGTTTAGGCCACCATGTTATGGTACTTTGTTATGGCTGCCCAGCAAACAGATTCAGTATGTCATGTAATTCTTAACCACTTTGGCATACAGATGAGGTAAGGCTCAGAGAGAACACAGATCTTGCCAAGAGGCATGGGTTACAAGGACTAGGACCCTCTTGAATTAGGCCCACATTAGCCCACCTCTACACTATTGTTCTTGTTCCCATGCCAGCTGTTCCTTCACTCTTTGTGCGTTCAACAAGTAGCTATTGAACTTCCAGGTCAGGCACTTGACTTCCATCAGCAAATAAAGCAAATACTTGTGCCCATGTAGTGCTCCTTTTTTGGGAGATGGGAGGTGTTACATGAAGAGGAGATGATCGTAAACACTAAACATCACATATATGTGAACTTCACAGCCCTGTATGATATGAATGTAACTATCCAAGAACCCAGGTGCCTCTCCAGGGCACCCACAAAGGAAGCCAGTAGCTGTGATCTGCATCATTCCAACCTCACACTCACTGTGCTATCTTTGCTGATATGACTGCTCCCTGCAAACACCCCCAAATGCCAAGTCTGGACAGAAACTCCTCACTGTAGTCTTGGAAGCTGGGAGGTGAAGAGCCATTGGTGGCATTGGTGGGTGATGTGCCAAGCTCTTTCCATGTGTATAGCACATCTGGCTTTCTGAATAGGCCATCAAGAGCTTGACACCAACACTTAAAAGCAGCCCTGAAACAGAAACAGAGCACCAATCAGGCAGTGGATTTTTGGAGACCTGTTAGTAAATATGTCTTCCAAAAGGCAAAGCAAGTACACTGTAGAAACATACTGACTGACCCAAGAGAGAACAAATCTATCCGTTCATTGCTCATAATGGTTTCTCTCAGGTCACATCTGATGCACAAGACAGAGCATTGTAGCATCATTGAAGCATTAAAATGTGTGAAAGATAATATTTTTACACAATAATTAAAACTTCTTTCTAACAAACAAGTTTCCCTTGTTCTACTGACTCCTAAAAACCTACCTTTTCTTTTCTGCGAAGAGGAGAAGACTCCCAAGAGAATGCAGTGCCTGAACTTTAAGACTTCTTTGATTGCTGGCTTGAAGAACATCTATATTTTTAATCAAGTAAAAGAACAAATGTCAGTTCTTGGAAAAATATTTTCCTTATGTTTGCAAGAGTATTTTCAACTGCATTATTCCTTAACCGTGTAGATTACTAGAAGTCAACTTCAAGTTAAGAGTGCCTTCAAATGTCACACGCTGTATATATGCAGAGAGCAAGCAACCCATGCTCTGTTTGAACACAGAGGACTGAGAGAGTGGATCTAACAGGTGGTAATAAGGAGGCTTCATGAGAAAGCAGAATAAAAGGCAGGCAGGGAGAGATGGTGGAGAGAAGCTCAGAAAAGACATGTGAGGGGGAGAAAAGGATGGGTCTGTATGTAAATGATGGGTGTGACTGCAGCATGGTTTTCTGGAGACGGGGAACTGGGAGTATGAAGAGAGTAGTACTGGTCAGATTGGTGGAGGCCTTGAATGGCAAGTGGAGACATATGGATGTCATCCCATAGCTGATGGGGAGTTTCAAAGGGTTTATTTTTTAGCAGAAATGTGACAAGATTACAGCATATCAGATGGTTCCTTTTACCTAAATGCAAAAAAAAAAAAAAAAAAATCCTTAGTATCACATGAATTTTTCTTTGTTTTTCTAATAAATGCATGGGTTCAGGAATGTATTGCAAAAAAACCCAACTGACACGGGAGTGGTTTCTAATGAGGGCAGTGATGTCCCCTAGAGGGTATGTTAGAAATACAGGGCATCTCCTGGTAATTCATAAGTTGATACCAAGGATACCAGATGGCCTGCAAGGCATGGAAGCTTCCTCCACAGTGAAGGAAAAGATAAGAAACCTGTTTATAACTAACTGAGTCTAACTTCTAACTTCATTTACACATAAAAAGAGCATTTTTGCATGATTTCTAAAGGCCCTGAGCTTTCCAGAAATGCAGTTACTCTAATACTTTCTTATGTTCAGAACTTTACCAAGATTTATTTGCCATTTTAGAAAATCATGCCACAAAACTTAACAATGCTGACAGCACTATGGTCACCAATACAATACTGTATCAGTTTGTATTGTAACTGTGATATTCATGGTGATTCTATATTCTAAACATAAGCATTTGGCTACTTTTTTATATCTTCTAATGCCTAGGCTTTACAAACTAACATACAGATTTCTTTATTATAAAGTGATTTTGTTTTATTTATCCTCTATTTTGTATTTTGGCTTCATAGTGATTCTTTTTTCAAAATAATAAGTGTAAGAAGAATATGTTAAGTATAAACTTTATTTTAGGATGTAAAATGGAAATTATAAAATGTCTCTTAGGGAAAAGGGGTACACTGGGTCTATAACGTGCATCGAGAACATAACACTGAATTTGTAGATAAGGCAAATCAAGGGGAAAGACAAGTAAAATGGAATCAGCTAGAACCAGAGCAACAGAGCATTGTCCCTAACCCCATAGGGATTTATGTTCCTGTTAAACAGGGATAGACAAAGGGTGGTCTAGACTCTCTCAGTGGTGACAGCCAGGGTAGGAGAGAGGGTACCGGAGGGACTGGAAGCATCTTCTGTCTCCAGACTGTTCTGTCACTGCCTACAAGTGTCTGACGAATCGACTCTGCATTCAAGCTCTGACAACTACCCTTAAAGGTAGCATTTCAGGACCACATACAATCTCAACACTAATGTAGAAGATAATATTGAAAACACAATGGACAGATCTTACCGATAGTTTGGTAATAAGAAGAAATCACAAGTCCAAGTTGTGAATAGGGAAGTTTGTTGTTCTCCACTGAGCTAGAAACTCTGAATTGCTCCTGAGAAAAGTCAGGGGGTGTAGACGTAAGAATTGCTTCCGTCCCCAGGGAAAATTCCACCTTTGCAGGAGTCAATTTGGAAGTGTTTGCTCTTCCTTTCTCTCCTAAATTCATGAAAAATAATAATAAAAATAATACTAATAAAGTAATTTAAAGTGAAGGAAGAAGGGAAATTGGTAGGGAATATAAAGGGAGAAGAAATAGAAAGGGAGTGGGCAAGATTCTGTACATAGCTGAGACTTATTTGCCATTTGAGGGACATGATTTCCTTATCTCAGCATCCAGGGTCATTTCTAAAGCTCCCAGGTGGGTATGGACAAGCTCAATGTCCATGCTATTTCATTAAGAGCACTACAGAGGGACAGTCAGCCAGAAAGCCAATGTTAAGATGATGCTTTTGCTTCTCTGGGACTGGTGAGTTTGCCTTTTTAAAATAGTTTCCAACAGTAAGATGTTAGTTTGCCTCTGGGGCAGAAACCTCTGGGATAGCAGTGATACTTGGGTAGTTCTGGCCTGAGACAGAAAGAAATGGGAAAGAACCTGTCTCTTTATAAGATGAGAGAACACAGAGGGAAAAAAAGAAAAAATATCCTAGGGGAAGTACACAGTCAAAAGCAACAGAGAGAGAAGCTAATATGCATTTTGAAGTCTACAGCCAGAGGACTAGAGCTACTGAGAATGCTGAGAATGTTTTGGTCCAAGCTAAGATTCAGAGTGAACTGGTGTAAACCTTCTTAGGAATTGCATTTTTTTTTTTTTAATTCATGCCCTTTCCCAGTGTTAACATAAGGAGTAACCGAAAGAAGGTTAACATGATGTGGAGGGTTAATTTTACATAATGTGGGTCTGAAGACAATATAACCCAAAACTATGGATACTTATCTTAGAAAGTGCTTTTTTTTCCCCCCTAAGATGTGGGAGATGGCAACAACTATAACAAATAAATAAATAAATAAATATGTAAACACATAAACAGAACTCTGCCAGTGGTTATAAAAATAAAATTGGTCAAATTTTTAAAATATCAGTTGAGTAGAAATTAGCATCTTAATTATATATAAATTTAAATCTACTTTTAATAATTTTATAATTACTTTAAGTTTATTTAAGTCTATTATGTAAGTTTATTCTTATTATTGGGATAAATATGAACAGCAAGGATCATTAATACATATTAGGATTTTAAAAATTTTTAAATAACCTAAGTATAGCTAATTCAGAATTTTTCCCTAAACTAAATTTGAATGAGTTCTCCTTCTCTAGGATGGCACCACTTAATCGTTCAAAGCCCTGCTTTTGTTGAGTTCACAAACTGGTAATGCTGAGAAGGAAGAAAACAAAGAAATATTACACTTAAATGTAATGCAATTTAGTTTTAAGCTAAAAGGAAAATCCCTAAGATCAAAATCTATGGTATTAATAAGAAATCTTATTGATGCTTATTTTTAAATGTATCCATTTCTTTGATGCTGATAAAGAAGTATTTTGGTAAAAGGTTTTATTTAATCCAGTATGACTCAGTCCATCTACTTATGAAAGTAAAAAAATGCCCACAGCATCATACCTGCAAAGAAAATTATATGCATATAAATGTAGAATCAAAAAATTAATGAATATTGTTTTCATATCTCCTATATCGAGGGATTTTGTTTTCATATCTACTGTAGTCAGGGGATTTTGCTAGTTTTACACAAAGCATAAAAGTAGGTGAGTGAGAAAGTATCTTGGTTAAAGTGTAGGGAGAATGTGAGACCCACTAGACAAGGAGAAGAGAGTGGAAGATGTCAGGAAGTATGCACGTGGGTGGGGAGGGGAGATCATGAGGGTGGGACAGGGACCATTCCAGGGTGGTAACACACAGAAATAAAGATTCAGGGATACAGAACAGGCATTTTACCTTGTGTCTGTGCAAGAAACAATAAAAGCAACTTTCTGCTGTGTCGCACTAATCTGTTATAATATTTGGATTTTTCCAGGGTCTCCCTAAAACATCTCAAGGTGTCTGACACATCCACGGGCACGCAGACAAGCTGTTTGGCTCGGGTGTATTCTGAAAGAAAAGGGAAGAGGAACGTGGGGGATGAAATGCTGCACCAATCCAAGCTCATAGCAAGCAAGTTTCTAATTCAGAGAATTTCTTGGTCTCGATCTAAAGCTGCTAAATTCAAAGCTCCCAGATCTGTAGCAGGTGTTTCAACATTCGGATCAATTTTTTTTTTTAAGCTTTGGTATGTTTGAAAGTTCCTTTAAAAAAAAAATCTTAAAAAACTTTTGTTTCTTATGAAATGCAAATAACTTTAGATCTTGCCAATTTTCCTTATGAAGTCTCCTACTTTTTCTTTTGCTGATCATAAAAAATGAAATAATCTACTCCTTTTCAGAAACCTCTTCAAAGCAAAGGTATCTCGAGAAAGAGCCGAAAGGAAGAAACAAAGAAGCCTGGAGATGGGCAAGTGCTCTCTGAAGGGAAGGCAAAGACAGTTTCCTAACACTGGAGGGTGGGGTGGGAGGGCTGTGTGTGCATATGAAACTGACTGACTGTTTGAGAAGTGCCTGGAAAGAGGAGCTGGTGGGGCAGAGTTGCTGCCAGGTTTCTGGAGAGGAAGTGATGGTCCTGGGAAGTAGGCTACAGATTTCCTGCATACCCTATGAAAAACAGGCCCAGGAGAGAGAAAAATCACAGCTTACAGGATTGGAAGACAGAGGAATTTATTCCACAATAGGTTGGACCAGTGGAATACCCCCCCCCTCAAAATTTAAGGTCTTGGTAACATAGCAATTTATAGGCTAATAAAGACGTAAGGGATGTTCAACATTTTTTTCTTTTCTGCCACACATTGGGCCACACATTAAATACCAATGAAAGCTGATGAGGAAAAAACAAAAAAGAAAAATGTCCATGCATATTTTTCACAATATCGGAAACCACAGATAAGCAGAACATTCCTCAAATAATCTGCATGCAGCTCATGGGCTGCAGGTTAGACACCCCTGCAAACAAGTCAAGAAGCATGATCTTTGCCCGCAAGAAGTTCACAATCTAGTCATATTTTCAGGGAGTATTTGGTAAAATGAGGGAAAGATGGGGAAAGAGATTAGCATAGGCAGGAAAGGGTGAGCAAGAAAGACTTTGTCAAAGAGGAGATATACCAGCTGTGTCTTGGGTTACAAAAAAATTTAGGAAGAAAGAGGCAAGGGGATTTAGATAAGTAGAATGAGAATAGAAATAGAAAAAAATTACTTAGGACTTTCACTATGTTAGGAACTCTTCTACATAATTTACTGTGATTGTCTCATTGAAACCTAAAAACCAAGAGGTATATACCATTATTATCTTCTTTTCACAAACGAGAAAAACAAGATTTCCCTTAGGGGCCAGAACTAGGTCGTGCAAACAGACGTAGAGGAACAGTAGCAAGGGCGGTAAGTTCAGGGGGCAAAGAAATAATACACAGCCAGTCCTGGTGAACAAAGTTTGCAGCAGGCCTGGTGAACAGAGCTTGCAGGAGTCCTGAGCCTCACTGAGTAACTGGGATTCATCCTCTCTAATGCAGAGCTCAGGAAAAGTTTTGACAGAAAGACTCCATCTAAGATTGGCAGGACTCTGACAGAAAGAGGTCATTATTTTAGAAAGAGTTAGCAAGAGTTGTATTCACAACAGGCCATGATAGAAATAGGCTGGTGGCTGATAAATTAGGCCACAACAACACAGATACTATGCAAGTCAACTCAACTAATGTTGGTGGCCATGGAAATGAGGAGAGAATACAGGGAACATTCTCATATTAGAAGCAACAGGAGTGATTAACTGGCTATGTGGTGAAAAAGAAAGGGGGAGAGTCACTTCTCCTATTTTTCAGTTTTCAGGATCTCTGACTTGCTTTCCACCTCACTGAAAAAAAAAAAAACACGAAGAAGCAATCCAAGAGCACCCCTCCCCCACACCTCTAGCACCTCTAGGCCATCATTCCTGCAATTCCCTTCTATCTCCAAATCAAGGTTATCCCTTCTGGAGAACCATTCCTAGTAACACAACTCATTTCCAGCTTAAAAAACAAACAAACAAACAAAAAACCTCTCTCCTGACCCTACTCACTCCCCAAGCTAGTCCTATTTCCCTGCTCCACTTCACACCAAAGTGCCTCAAAAAATTGTCCGTATCCATAATTTCCCATTCTCTTGTGAACCTACTTAAATCCCTTCTCTGCCTTAAAGGTCCTTCTCCAACCTCTTCAATCACCCCGCCTTGGTCCCCTTTGATAATTCACTCCATCAATTCAAGTTCTTAGCTTTAGAGCCCCCAGGGATCTGTCTGTAGACTGCCTGTCTTTTCTTAATTTGCACTTACTGCCTTACTTCTCTTACTTTCGTGATTTTAAATAATACTCATGCATTCATGGCTCCCAAGTTTATGTCTCTGACCCCAAATCTTGAAATTCACACCTATCTTCCCAATGCTCTATCTACTGTACAATGTGCACAGTAGACAGCTGAAATATAACACACCCTAACCTCATTTCTGAGTCTTCCCCTCAAACCTGCTTCTCCCCTTGTCTTTTTCCATCTTCTTAAAGGATGCCTCCCTTTTTCCAACTGCTCAGAATGAAAGTCAGAATCATCTTTTACTCCTTTTCTTCTCTCGTGCCTCAAATCAAACCCACAACAAATCCTGCCAGCCCTCCCTTCAGAAGACGGCCAGGACCTCACCACTTCTCAACAACTTCCCTCTCCACGGCTCCTCGCATGATGTTCCAAGGCCTCTCAGTTATAGCAAAGGCCCTTTACCATGGCAGAAAGCTTCTGGGAGTCTCTTTTATAAGCACACTAATACCATTCATGAAGGCTGTACCTCACGACCTAAATTACCTCACAGACACCGGGGGTCAGGATTTCAACATATAAGTTTGGGAAGCCACGAATATTCAGATACTGGCAAGCAAAAGAAAAGGAGCAAGGCTAGAAGCCCCCACATATTAATAATTTGAGATACCGTTTCTAGACCTTATTGAGTTTTAAATATCTGTTAAAATTTGGCTAATAATGGACCTCCCTGCTCCCTGAGTTCCCGAGGACTTCAGGTTTCTTCCCTTATTAACTTTTCTCAGAATTACTCCCATCCTATTCTCAGAGCACCCCTGTGCCCAAATTGGGGATCACTAGTGGGTTACTGTCTAACCTGTGTATGAAACTGTTTAGCCGGTTCTGTCAGGGAGTAAGCATTCTATAGATTCAGGTTCACATTATTACTGCTAATAATATATTTTTAAAATACTTATTGAGCACTCACAAGTTCTAGGCACTGTGCAGGCATGGAAGAGATATAAGGGACCAAAATTAACATAGTCCCTGCTCTCACAAAGCTTACATTCTAGAATAAAATCTGAAAAAAAAATGCTTATAGTAAAAAATAGTCTGAATAAAATCATCCCACTACTTTTTAACCAAATATCTGCTCATAAATAATTCCTCTTTGTGTTTTTCCTATATTATATTGCACTTTATTTCCTTTCTAAAAGCCCTGGCATACATTTTCACTTGTCTCATTAGGGCTCGGTGCTGGTGCTGTGGCTGTCTACATGAGATAAATGACACAAAGCAATAAGGAAATATTATTCTCCTCAGAAGCTTTATCCTGACAGCTCTGTCTCAAGGGGGTTCCTCCCTGAACACTCCCATGGATAATTTAAGAAGCTATTCCAAAGGCACTAATAGGTTCAATCATTTGAAATGGGTAAGACAGAGAAGTCCAGAGCAAAAAATGAAAAACATGACCATGTCTTTCCCTGTACCAAGGTAAAAATGAGAACTGAAACGTCAGTATCTCCAGAGAGATGGGTCTACCAAGGAAAGATCCTACAGTTGGTCACATCAATGCAAACACCCAGAGGCACTAATAAAACACCTCTGCCAAGGGGTGAAAATTCCAAAACACCTGAGGACTGAATAACCCTATCAGAAAACTTACATACCAATAAGGCCATAAGTCTACAAAGAGATCCCAGACAGTGCAAAAACCACAGTAAAAGGCATTTCCATAAAGTTACTCCCCCACAGAGCTTAACAAGCAGGCAAGTTACTCATCCATACAAGAATGATCTATAAAGTGAGGTATTCTCACTTCTCCAAACCCTACAGAGACTATACCAAATTACATATGCATTATTAAATAGTTGAAAGGAGAATAGGATACTGTTAAATAATGAGTATACCAAATGTTCCCAGGCACTGGAGCATAGCAGTATCTGTTCAGCAGAATTAGATGTATCAAGCTTTTCCACCAAATGTTGTTATGCCAAAAGAAATCTATGATGTTCTAAAGCAGCAATCTGGTGTGGAAACCATCAGGAGTATACTCAGTCTTTAAAAAAAAAAAAATTGCAAACATCTCATGGTGACATACACAGGACCCAACATGCTTATAAACATGTTAAGGATCTGAATTTAGTACACTGAAAAAAATTTAGCAGCCTAAAAGTTTGCTGAATAAACCCAAAAGCAAGGGCCAGAGGTGATTCTAAGTAACAGAGGTCCTAGAATCTTGTAAAGAGCTACAGTTTGGACACTAAGCTTTTAATGATAGTGATTCAATGCAAAACTTACAATTAGTATACAGGATTACCTAAAAAATACCATATCGCCATAGCAAGTCAGAATAAAATATCTGCCTCCCATGATTGCTGAAATACAGCAAATTTTTTTCTTGAGTGCTCTGAAAGAGGGCAGTGGAGAATAGGCCTACAAGCTCAATGAAGCCTTCGTGGGTGGAGCAGTTAGACAGGCCAGGTTTGAATCATAGTCTCACTGCTTAACAGTAACATTTCATTTTCTCATCTGTAATGCAAGAACAACAACATCTACCTCCTAAGACCGTACAAATTAAAGAAGCTAAAGATAGTTCTGCTTCCATAAGCCATTATTGCCATTAAAATGTTATTTAAATTTACCCTATTTGAATATTCTTGCTCTAATCATTCACTGTTCAAACTGGCTGTGCTTCCACCACTGTTGGGAATCACTCCAAAGGGTCACTGCCATTCTGCTGGACCTGAC